TTCTAACTCAACCTATTAAATAAACTGAACTGATTGGCGAAAAATAGTGAACCTTGATCCCTAACGTACACCACATATACAAATTAATTTTCGATGGACCATGAATCTAACTGTGAAAGGTAAACAGTAATGTTTCTAGAAGAAAATGTAGGAGAATATTTTCATGACTTTGAGATCAGCAAAAAAATTTTTAACAGGACACAGAAAAGTGCTAACCATCAAAGAAAATGTTGATAAATTGGACTTACTAAAATAAAGAACCTCTGATCATCAGGAAACTCCATAAGAGGATGATACTCAGCAATAAAAAGAAATGAACCATCGGGACTTCCCTGGCAGTGCAGTGGTTGAGACTTCACCTTCCAATGCAGGGGATGCAGGTTCGATCCCTGTGGGGAGCTAGGATCCCACATGGCCTTGTGACCAAAACATGGAACAGAAGCAATATTGTAACAAATTCAATAAAGACTTTAAAAAATAGTCCACATCAAAAAAAAAATTAAAGAAAAAAAGAAATGAACTATTGACATAGAATATAACGTGGGTGAAAAAAAATATAACATGGGTGAATCTCAAAATAATTGTGTTGAGTGAAAGAAGCCAAAGAGTACATACTGTATGATTTAATTATATAAAACTCTGGAAAATGCAGGTAGGGATCTTTAGTGATACAAAGCATATCAGAGGTTGTTTAGGTATGGGGGATTATGGGGGCGCGGCTGGAGGGAGGGAGTACGAAGGAACATGAGGAAACTGTTGGGGAGTAATTGTTATGTTCACTATTTGGTGGTGATGATTTTACAGTTATAAACCTGTCAAAACTTATACTTCTGATATTGTCAATTATACCTCAATAAATCTGTATTTAATGTGGACATAAAAACCACCCAGATGAGAACAGGTGAAGGCCATTTATTCAGAGCTTTCGGTTCCAGAGGAGTCCGCTCCAGCACTTGCCTTTGGCAGAGATGCAAAGGTAGGTAGACCACTGGGGAAGCTTTATAATGGAAAAAAGGCAGGGAAGCCTTCAGGAATGTCCTAATTTGGGGCTGTTGGCACAAGGAAGCTGTAGGCAGCCTGACTACAAGTGGGGGTACTCTGTATGATTGGTTGGGGTACATATTTGGCTTTCTCTGGTTGGTCCTAAGTTGGAAGCAGGGATAAAAATTAGGGAAGCTGTCAGTTAATCAAGTCCTGGCTGTTTGGGGCCAGTTTTTACAGGGGTTATCATTTGACTTCCTGGACTGGTTGCTAGAGATAGTCTGACTTCCTTGACTGGTAAGTGTAGATAGTAGGCTGGCTTCCTGGGCTGGATTTTTGCAGATTGTGGGTCAGAGCTCTATCTTTATATATATAGTCTGGCCATTGTCCGTTAGTATGTCGTGACTCTCACGATAAGAAACAAATTCCACAAGAAAGGCAAGCCACAAACTGGGAGAAGGTATTTGCAGTACATATCCAACAATGTACTGAATCCACTATATATTTTTTAAAACTCCCACAATTCAGTAAGAAAAAGACAACCTAATTTTTTAAGTGGGCAAAAGGCTTGAACTAGCACTTTATGAAAGAGGATATCCAAATGTCTAATAAACATATGAAAAGGTATCATTGGAGGAAAGGCAGTCATCATTTCATCTCTAATTTAATCATCATTCAATGCAGATTAAATGAAATACCACCACACTCCTACCAAGATGGCTAAGGAATCAGCAATACAAAGTGGTAGTATAGATGTGGGACACTGGGAGCTCTAAGGTACTGTTGGTGGTGATGTAAATTGGCACAGATCCTAGAAAACTGTTTGGCAGTATCTATCAAAGCTAAACACCAAGGCATACCTTGGATATATTGTGGGTCGGTTCCAGATCACTGTGATAAAGTGAATCACATGAATTTTTTTGTTTCCCTGTGCATATAGAAGTGTGTTTAAACTAAACTATAGACTATTAAGAGTGCAATAGCATTATGTCTTAAAAAAAAACAATGTACATACCTTAATTTAAAAATACTTTATTACTAAAAAATGCTAGCCATCATCTGAGCCTTCAGTGAGTTGTAATCTTTTTGCTGGTGGAGGGTTTGAAATATTTTGAGAATTACAAAAATATGACACTGTGACACGAAGTGAGCAAACGCCATGGGAAAAATGGCGCTGATAGACTTGCTCAACACAGGGTTGACCCAAACCTTCAATTTTTTATTTAATAAATTTATTTATTTTATTTATTTATTTTTGGCTGCACTGGGTCTTTGTTGCTGTGCGTGGGCTTTCTCTAGTTGCGGCGAGCGGGGGTTATTCTCTTCTTTGCAGTGCGTGGGCTTCTCATTGCGGTGGCTTCTCTTGTTGCGGAGCATGGGCTCTAGGCGCGTGGACTTCAGTAGTTGTAGCAGGTGGGCTCAGTAGTTATGGCTCGCAGGCTCTAGAGGGCAGGCTCAGTAGTTGTGGCGCACAGGCTTAGTTGCTCCACAGCACGTGGGATCATCCTGGACCAGGGCTGGAATCCGTGTCCCCTGCGTTGGCAGGCGGATTCTTAACCACTGCGCCACCAGGGAAGCCGCTTCAATTTGTTTTTTAAAAAGAGGAGGGGGCAATATCTGTGAAGCAAGGTGCAATAAAACAAGGTATGCCTGCATATGCATACTCTATGACCCAACAACAACACTCCTGGCTCTACATCTGATAGCAGTGAGTATTTATATTCACGAAAACTCTCATGTAAGAATATAATAACCGACTTCCCTGGTGGCGCAGTGGTTAAGAATCCACTTGCCAATGCAGGGGACACGGGTTTGAGCCCTGGTCCGGGAAGATCCCACATGCCGTGGGGCAACTAAGCCCGTGCACAGCAACTACTGAGCCTGCGCTCTAGAGCCCATGAACCACAACTACTGAAGCCCGCATGCCCTAGAGCCCGTACTCCGCAACGAGAAGCCAATGCAATGAGAAGCACACGCACCACAAGGAAGAGTAGCCCCCGCTCGCCGCAACTAGAGAAAGCCCGTGCGCAGCATCGTAGACCCAATGCAGCCAAAAAAAAAAAAAAAAAAAGAATATAACAGCTAAAAGCAGGAAACAACCCAAATGTTTATCAACAGTTTAATTTATAAATTGTGGCATATTCATAAAATGGAGTGCTACATAACAATGAAAAAGAATAAACTGCTACATGCAGCATTATAAATGAATCTTACAGACATAATGTTGAATAAAGGAAGGTACACAACAGAAGAGTTAATACTATTTGATTCTATTTGTAAGAAATTCAAAACAAACAAAACTAGGGGCTTCCCTGGTGGCGCAGTGGTTGAGAATCTGCCTGCTAATGCAGGAGACATGGGTTCGAGCCCTGGTCTGGGAGGATCCCACATGCCGTGGAGCGTCTAGGCCCGTGAGCCACAAGTACTGAGCCTGCGCGTCTGGAGCCTGTGCTCCGCAAAGAGAGAGGCCGCCACAGTGAGAGGCCCGCGCACCGCAATGAAGAGTGGCCCCCGCTTGCCACAACTAGAGAAAGCCCTTGCACAGAAACGAAGACCCAACACAGCAAAAATAAATTAATAAACTCCTACCCCCAACATTTTCTTAAAAAAGCAAACAAACAAACAAACAAAACTAATCTATAGTGATAAGAGGTCAGAATCATGGTTACTTTTTGGTGGTTTTATTGACCAAGGGAACACAAAGGCACCTTCTGGATTATTGGCAATGTACTATAACTCGATCTGGGTTGTCATTGTATGAGTGTTTACATACAAAATGTTTATTGATCTGTACACCTAAGATTTGTGCATTTCACTACATGTAAGTTATACCTCAATAGAGAACAATGTTTTTTTTTTAACTTGTATTCATTATTTTCTGTTTCAACTCTATCCTTTTGTTTATACCTTTCCTTAAAACTAGCTGTCCCTCTGGCTTTCTTGTTTTTCTGAAAGCCCATTAAACTTTTTGCACTCAGTCCTTAAATCCTGTTAGCTCTTCCTTTAAAATACTTCCCATCCATACTATTTCCAAATCATGTCTGTATCTGTATTAGAGTTTTAGCCTTGACCACAAGCCTGAATTATTGCCAAGGACCTAATTGGTTTCCCTGCTTTCCATACTCAAAACTATTCTACAATATGCCAGCAAAGCTATCATCTAAAGCACCATTTGGATTGTGTTGCTTCCTCTCCTCAAAAGCCTTGAGGGTGCTCCCATTTCTGGCATATTAGATGCAGGTCAGTCTCTAGCACTGTATTTAAGTCTCTCATGATCTGGCCCCAGCCAGCCATACACAACCGCTGGAAAATTGGCATACTTAATAGTTCCAAACCCATTTTGCTCTCTGTGGCTTATACGCCTTTGTTCATGCTCTTCTCTCTGTAAATGCTTTCTTCCTCTTACCAGCCCCTTCTCAAAACATTTTAACCTGGGGTTTATGATGTACTTTGTGAAACTCATGAACTCCCTGAATATACCCAAAGTTTCTATATTTGTGCATTTTTTTGGAGGAAGGGCTTGTCATGTCATTGGATTCTCAGAAGGGGTCCAAAACCCACCCCCACCCCTACCCCACTCCCGCCCAAAGTTAAATTGATTTACTGGCCCTTTGAAGGAATGTTAACTCACTTTATGTTTTAATAAACTTTTTGTCTCATTAGCACTTAGTCTTCAATATGCTGGGTAATAAAACTTTTTTAATAGGTAAGTAATATAACTTTTTTAATATATAAGTTATATTTAAAAGCTCAAAGTTTCAGATTCAGGTAAAATGGCTTGTCTCATCTATTTTTAAGGTCTATAGATTTAGCTCTTTGTGTGGAATTTATTTTGCTCAAAAGATAGTATGTATTTTTCACTTTGGTGTCTTTAGTCAGGGGGGAAATTTTTTTTACCTCCTACGTGACTATTCATACAGCTAGTAGACAATACCATCTCTGTATGCTTTGTTGTAGCAATCCCTTTTAAAAGATATTAGTCACATTTTTCAACACTTTTTTTTTTCTTCCTGTTTTAGATTCCTATAGGCAATGGAAACTGATCTCAATTCCCAGGACAGAAAGGACCTGGACAAGTTCATTAAGTTTTTTGCCCTCAAGGTACTATATCCATTCTCTTGAGCCTAGAACTGTTAGAAATAACTTCCGTGCTTCTCCCTTTTTGGAAATATAGCATAACAGCTTGCAGCTTGCCCATTTTAAGGGATACTTCTGTCTGTTGTAAACCAAACTGTGAAATTTGGGGGCGGTACTGGGGGTGTAACTAAAAAGTAGCTTCCAATTTTCCTCAGCTACTTGTTCAAAAAAAAATTTTTTTTGCAAGCCTGTTTGCAGAAATGTCAAACTTATTATGCCAGGTTATTGGCACAGTATGTTCCCTTGGGGTGGGAACAAAGACTGCGGACTGGAATGGACAGCAGTTTGGGCATCTTTCCGTAAGCATCAACAACCTCTGAAATGTCTCACTTTCACTTATTGTTCCCTTCTGGGTAAATGAAGAATTAAAACTGAATTTTGAATGCTTTAGAAAGCATATTTTCCTAAATCTAAAAATCATTTCCACCACTCTCACTCCTTCCTCTCAACCATTGCTATGTAAGAATAATCCATGCGGTAGATTCTGGTTGTAAAATTAGTTGGAAGACTTTTGCCATATGGGCCAAGTCATATGAATAATTGTGGAATCCTTGGTTTAAATCAACTATGATTACATAAGTGTATGGCAGTGAATATTTAAACCTATGGTTGGACTTGTTTTTCTATGAGAGTCAGAGCCATCATGTGCAACTTTCCTTCTGCCATGTGAGAATATTATAGATTACAAGCCTCAAATTGTAATTTTTCTAATTGGTTGACACTGTGCCCTCAGGAATATTTACAGTATTATTTTTGTGCCGTGTTTTTTTCCTACCTGTTCTTGAAGGTTTTAAATCCTACCCTTTCCTGAAGTATAGTTATGATCATTGGCATCTTTTAAATCCTGCATTGGGAGGGTTTTAACCCTGATTAGGAGCCAGATCAATTTGTTTTAACTTTTTATCTTTGATTTTTTGTTTGCTTTTTTTAGACTGTCCAAGTGATTGTCCAGGCTCGACTGGGCGAGAAGATTTGTACTCGTTCATCTTCTTCCCCAACGGGTTCAGACTGGGTAAAATTCCAATTGTTTGTTAAGGGATATACTATGGTGTTTGTCACAAGGAATCACAGTGTAGTAATAAATGATGCTATTTCTAGTATTACTAACTCATAACATTAAAATACCTAATTCCATTTGATCCATTCACTTGGAAAGTATGTTCTTCATCAGTGTTAGTCTGATGTATTTGTTTTTTGGCTTTCTGCTGTGATAGGTGAAAAGCTTTTTCAACCTGAGTTTTGGGGCTTTGATGCAAGATATCTTATGGGGAAGGGAGAAGTAAGTGAATGTCCTTAATCAGTCAAGAGCAATGCCTGCTTTACTCAGCATCCAATCTTACTACTTTATGCTTCCATAATGTTCCTTGTGAGTGTTTAACACAAAGTTCCTTTTGTTTTCTAGTTCAATTTAGCAATCAAAGACATCCCAGAGGTTACGCATGAAGCAAAGAAGGCACTGGCAGGGCAGCTGCCTGCCGTTGGGAGGTCTATGTGTGTGGAGATCTCACTCAAGACTTCTGAGGTAAGGTTATGGCCAGAAGGGTGTCTTTTTTTTTTTTTTTTTTTTTTTTTATATTGAAGTATAGCTGATTAACAGTGTTGTGATAGTTTCAGGTGCACAGCAAAGGGACTCAGCCATACATATACCTGTATCCATTCTCCCACAAACTCCCCTCCCATCCAGGCTGCCACATAACATTGAGCAGAGTTCCCTGTGCTGTACAGTAGGTCCTTGTTGGTTGTCCATTTTAAATATAGCAGTGTGTACATGTCGATCCCAAACTCTCTAACTATCCCTTCCCCCCATCCTTCCACCCCCGGTAACCATAAGTTCATTCTCTAAGTCTGTGAGTCTGTTTCTGTTTTGTAAATAAATTCATTTGTATATTTCTTTTTAGATTCTGCATATAAGGGATATCACAGGATATTTCTCTTTCTCTTTCTGACTTACTTCACTCAGTATGACAGTCTCTAGGTCCATCCATGTTGCTGCAAATGGCATTATTTCATTCTTTTTAATTGCTGGGTAGTATTCCATTGTCTATATGTACCACATCTTCTTTATCCACTCCTCTGTCATTGGACATTAGGTGGCTTCCATGCTTGGCTACTGTAAACAGTGCTGCAGAGAACATTCGGGTGCATGTGTCTTTTCGGACCATGTTTTTCTCTGGATATATGCCCAGGAGTGGGATTGCAGGGTCATATGGTAGCTCTATTTTTAGTTTTTTGAGGAAAATCCATACTGTTCTCCATAGTGGCTGTACCAATTTACATTCCCACCAACAGTGTAGGAGGGTTCCCTTCCCTCCACCAGGACGGTGTCTTAACTAGGCACTCAAAGCTCTTCACACTCTGCTTCCAACTCAGCCTTTTTTTAAAAAAAATACTTATTTATTTGGTTGTGTTGGGTCTTAGTTGTGGCATGCGGGATCATTTTTTAGTTGTGGCATGTGGGATCTAGTTCCCTGACCAGGGATCGGACCTGGGCCCACTGCATTGGGAGTGCAGAGTCTTAGCCACTGGACCATCAGGAAAGTCCCCCAACTCAGCCTTATTCCTGCTCCTTCCCTCTCTGATCACCTCATTATTCTCTGAGGAGGTTGTGGTTTTTGTACTTATTTTTCCAACAACTTGGAATAGACTCTTCACCCTCATCTTCATATATATCATCTATATGTGATATGTTTCTACTTATCCTTCAAGACTTATATGCCCTAGAGCAGGGGTCCCCAACCCCTGGGCTGCACAGCAGGAGGTGAGCAGTGGGCGAGCAAGTGAAGCTTCATCTGCCGCTCCCCATCGCTGTCATTAACGTGTGAACCATTGCTCGTGTACACTGCCTTGAACTATCCCCCCATCACACGCATTACCTCCTGAACCATCATCATCCACACCACCTCCCCCGATGGAAAAATTGTCTTCCATGAAACCGGTCCCTGGTGTCAAAAAGGTTGGGGACCGCTGCTCTAGAGGATCTCCCTTTCTAAACCCTCTTTAGATTTCCTGTGTGTTTTCTTTACATTTGTTTCCAGAGTATAACTTGCTGTATTGTGGGGTTTTTTTTAATGTGTTTTTGTTCACCTTATTCCATGCTAGGATTGAGGCAAATATTCTTGCTTTCATGTTTATTAATCGATATCCACTACAGGATTGTGAGGGTGCTTGGTATAATAAAAGGCAAATGAGTTTGGAGCTATACAGACCCAAATTCAGATCCTAGCTGAGCAACTTTGGCTGAATTACTTAACCCCACCTCCCCTAACACCACCAAAGTAACACGACACTTCACAGTCTTGCAGAGCTATAATATTTCCTCATTTCATTCTTACTTGTAAATTACCTAACATAACATATGGTGGGTGATCATTACATGTTCCTGTTCATACTATCCTTTTTTTTTTGGCTGTGTCGGGTCTTAGTTGCAGCACTTGGGATCTTCGTCGTGGCATGTGGGATCTTTTGTTGCAGTGCGCGGGCTTCTCTCTAGTTGAGGGACACGGGCCTAGTTATTCTGCGGCTTGTGGGATCTTACTTCCCTAACCAGGGATCGAACCCGCGTCCACTGCATTAGAAGGCAGATTCTTAACCAAAAGTCCCTGCACTTTTATTCTTGAGGTCAGCAGCTTTGCCACATCTTATTTATCTGTGTAGTTCTTCAGTTCTTTTTGAGGGACTTCCCTGGTGGCGCAGCGGTTAAGAATCCACCTGCCAATGCAGGGGACATGGGTTCGAGCCCTGGTCCAGGAAGATCCCACATGCCACGGAGCAACTAAGCCTGTGCACCACAACTACTGAGCCTGCACTCTAGAGCCCGTGAGCCACAACTACTGAAGCCCGTGCACCCTAGAGCCCGTGTGCTGCAACCACTGAGCCCACACGCTGCAACTACCGGGCCCGCATGTTGCAACTACTGAAGCCTGCGTGACTAGAGCCTGTGCTCTGCAACAAGAGAAGCCACCGCAATGAGAAGCCTGCGTGCTGCAACGAAGGGTAGTCCCTGCCCGCCACAACTCGAGAAAGTCCGCACACAGCAACGAAGACCCAACGCAGCCAAAAATAAATAAATTTAAAAAAAAATTCTTTTTGAAATGAGGCAGGATATAAATAAATAATCATCTCTCTGCATGGCACAGTGCCCGGGATGGCACACAGTAGGCTCTCAATTTTGTTGAACGAATGATGTCAGTACTTATTCCATGGCAACCTTAAGCACCAAATAAAACAAAACTTCGTATTTTTCTTTATTGAATTACCAATTTATACTGTGGATTATTTTTCTTAGCGATCCATAGGGAGTCCAAAAGGAATCCCTGGAAGAACTCTTTCCTCTCTCAGGCATCTGTGTAATCCTATTCTAAACTGTTGTGATTATCCTAGAGAAACCACACCAATTTATCTTGGATACTTCCTACTGTCCAGTCATCCCTTGATTTTTTTGGGGGGGGGTGGATTCAAAATTCATCATGTCATTTAGAGATGACACTGTGATGAAAAGGATATATATTAAGAATACATATTTAAATTTGATCTAGAACAAGTAAAAAATCTCTACTCCGCAAACTAACCCGAGTTTATTCCCAAACCTAAAAGAATGGCCCTCTTACAGCTGACTCGTAAAAAGATTACTTGTGTTCAAAAGTATGTGACTATCCATCTCACTAAATGACACACAGGAGTGTTACAGGGTTAAGGGATTCTGGCTTTGGTCTTTTCTTTTTCTTTCCCACCCACTAGACTAAGTCTGTTCAGAGTAACACATAGAGAGACTGAACAGTTTGGCTAAAGACATCAAATAGCTAAAAAGACTTTTAAGTAAGGAGCTTGTTAAGATATTTAACTGTGAGTATCACCTAAAAATATCCTCTATAGAATTGGAGGGAAAGGCTCTCTCCATGATTTGAAATGTTGGCCTTTCTGAAGAGCAATTTGGACATACATAGCAAAAGTCTTAGAAGCATGAATATTCTTTGATCCAACAATTCTAATTCTGGAAATTTACCTTAAGAAACTAATTCAGGATGCATACAGAATTTTAGTCTCAAGTCTGTTTATCACAGTGTTGTTTGTAGTAGTGAAAATTTAGAAACAAGCTGTATGTCCAAGTATGGGGGTACTGATTGGATAAAATAATTGTCATATGTTGGAATACTACACAGCCATTAAAAGTAATGTCGAATTTTAAATTTTATTTATTTAATTTTTGGCTGTGTTGGGTCTTCATTGCTGTGTGTGGGCTTGCTCTAGTTGTGGTAAGCGGGTGCTATTCTTTGTTGCGGCGTGTGGGCTTCTCACGGCGGTGGCTTCTCTTGTTGCAGAGCCTGGGCTCTAGGTGCGTGGGCTTCAGTAGTTGTGGCTCACAGACTCTAGAGCACAGGCGCAGTAGTTGTGGCTCACGGGCTTAGTTGCTCCGCGGCACGTGGGAGCTTCCCGGACCAGGGCTTGAATCTGTGTCCCCTGCATTGGCAGCTGGATTCTTAACCACTGTGCCACCGGGAAGTCAACTAGAATTTTTAATTATAAGGAAAATTCCATGTTGTATTTATTGATAAAAAGTGATAGGGGCTTAGACCGTGTGCAGCAACAAAAACCCAATGCAGCCAAAAAATAAATAAATAAAATTTTTAAAAAAGTGATAAAAATAGTATGTATAGTATGATCTCACTTTTATTTAGAAAAATCACTGATTGGAAAAAAAAGAAAGAAAAATCACTGATTGGATTATAAGTTGATGTCTCTTCTTTTTGCTTATTTATACTTTCTAATATTTTTATAGTGACTGTATAGTGCTTTATAATAAGGAAAAAGATTTAAAAAAACCTGAAATATCTTTGAATTGTTCCATCTACAGGGAGATTCCATGGAGCTAGAAATCTGGTGTCTGGAAATGAATGAAAAGTAAGTGGTCTGTCTTAGGGTCCTTCGTTGTGGTAGCTGAGGATAAAGTGCACGACATCATGTGAAAAGCAGGGCTTTGTACCAGTCATGGAGAGGGTTCTGACCACTTAACAGAGCCAATAGGTCTTTGCTACAGTTTGCTTCATGCTTGGCTTCCAGCCCAGGCACAGAGATGACCTTCAGAGGGAGTGTCAGTCCAGAGAGACTCAGACACCATTGGGAGAAGAGCAGAGAGAAAGCTGAAAAAGGATTTGTTGTTTTCCCAGAGTACAGATAGTTCTCTGATTAAATCCCTTGAGCTCTTGTAACATGACTACTCTGTTTTGTCTGTTTTCTATGTGGCAGACATCCAATAAGATTTCCCCTCACTACTCCTTTAGACATGCTGTGTTGGTCACGGATTGGAAATGCATGTTATTTTCCCCCTCCATTTTCTTCTTTCAGGGCAGATTAGCTTACTTCCTGCCCAAAGCTTTAGTTTTCAAAAAGAATATATAGGAAAATTGAGGAAATAGCAACACATCAGAAGAAAAATCTTATTAATAAGTATGAGTGGTATGGGCATTATTTTTCTTTCTTAAATAGAAAGCAACTGCCAGGTTATAGTCCAAAATTTTAGTACCAAACACTTCTCCAGAGTTCCTGTTAGATGTATAGAGGTAAACTGCTCGTAAGATAGTACATTGAAATTGTTTGCACCTTTAGTAATACAATTGCAATATTGAATTACTGTTTTTAAGGGTGTTGCTTTATTTCTTAGAAAGATAACTGCTTCAAAGCTAGAAAAAATATATATTGGATACCTTTTGGTGCCCACCTGCCTTTGTCTAGTGCATGAGAAAGTGAAACTTTGGCTAGCTTCAACAATCTGTTGATAAACTGACAAAGAACTCTAACTACAACGTTAGTTCAGAACACGTTTTTGTTTTGTTTTGTTTTTTGCGGTATGTGGGCCTCTCACTGTTGTGGCCTCTCCTGTTGCGGAGCACAGGCTCCAGACACGCAGGCTCAACGGCCATGGCTCAAGGGCCCAGCCGCTCCACGGCATGTGGGATCTTCCCGGACCGGGGCACGAACCTGTGTCCCCTGCATCGGCAGGCGGACTCTCAACCACTGCGCCACCAGGGAAGCCCCAGAACATGTTTTAATAATAAATTTAATCTTATACAGTTCCAGCACTTAATTTGTGACTATCTCTGTTGACTGTAATACTCTGTGAAAGGTTATTTAGACTGTAAATCAGATAATATTCTATCAGAATTTATGAATAATGCTAACAGATTTTTTTTTAGATTTTTTAAATTGAAGTATAGTTGATATTCAATGTTGTATTAGTTTCTAGTGTACAGCAAAGTGATTCAATTTTATATATATATTCTAATGCTAACAAATTAATCTCAGTAGCTAGATGGAACATAACTAACATCTCTATTCATTGCATTTCTGTTCTTTGTTTTTCATTAGTGGAGTAGGAGAATGCTGATAGTGTCTTTGCTCCTCAGGTGTGATAAAGAAATCAAAGTTTCCTATGCTGTGTACAACAGACTGTCGTTGCTACTGAAGTCTCTCCTTGCTATAACTAGGGTGACACCAGCTTACAGACTGTCCAGGAAACAAGGGCATGAATATGTCATATTGTATAGGTAAGCAGTCACCTTCATGATTCACTCATCGGCCTCATCATTTTGCACATTGTCTGACCAGCATTCAGGTATTCCATGATTAGTTTTTAGACAGACGTTTGGATAGTTGATGCTGTAGCTTTACTATGATTGTCTATCTATTCTCCCTTCTGAACCTCAGCTTTTTGCAAAGCAACCAAGTTCGTTATTCTTTTGTTTGTACACAGTCATGACTCCTGTAGAATGGATTTTGAAGTCCTACTGATATATATCTCATTTCTGGAAAAGGAAGTTAAGACTTTGAAAAACAGGCTATCCTGGGAAGACTCCACAATGTTCTATATTCCAGAGTTAGATTAAAACTTTTTGTGTAACAAACTGCTAATTCAGTGTGTTTTTAATTAGTTGTCTGTGGATATAAAGAACTGGTTAACAGTTCTTTGAGTATTTTCCTTGTAATATTTCACATCAACATATATTTGAGTGCTTTTTTGAGGCAAGCATTGTGGTAGGCCCAAGGAAGAACTATACAGAGGCCCAGCCGTACTGGTGTTTCTAATCTAATGGGGGAAATGGTTTGGTACATGCATAGTCACAGTAAAAAGCAGGATTTGCATAGCAGTGTCAGGAAAAAAAGTGCTGTGAAAACACAGGAAGAATGAGTTTGTTCTGGGTGGGAGAATCAAGACAGGCTTCATGGGGGAAGTAGCATTCCAGCTAGACCTTGAGGCAGTGAAAATTTCATCTGTTGGAAGTGAGGGAGCATGATCATTCCAGGTGGGGTGTACCGCAGATGGCAAGGAACAGAAATGGGGGGTGGAAATGAGCTGTACTCAGATTGTCAAATGGACCAGAGCGGTGGTGAGGAGGATGTGTAGCAAAGTGTGAGAGCAGAGCAGGAAAGTCAAGGGTTCCTAAATCATCCAAGACTCTGTTTCATATTAGTGATGAGCCATGGGTTTTAGCCTTTGGCTTACATTTATTTATAGAGCTGATCTTTATTTTATTTATTTTAATTAAGTGATTTATTTATTTACTTATTTTCGCCTGCCTTGGGTCTTTGTTGCTGTGCATGGGCTTTCTCTAGTTGCAGCGAGCAGGGGCTACCCTTTGTTGCGGTGCATGGGCTTCTCATTGTGGTGGCTTCTCTTGTTGCGGAGCACGGACTCTAGGCGCGTGGGCTTCAGTAGTTGTGGCACACAGGCTCAGTAGTTGTGGCTCACGGGCTCTAGAGTGCAGGCTCAGTAGGTGTGGCATATGGGCTTAGTTGCTCTGTGGCATGTGGCATCTTCCTGGACCAGGACTTGAACCCGTGTCCCCCGCATTGGCAGGTGGATTCTTAACCACTGTGCCACCAGGGAAGTCTCTAGAGCTGATCTGTAGAAGAATTAGTATAGCAGGATGGAAGGACCAAGGATTAGAGACTTAACTAGTTCTGTTGAAATAATCCAGCAACCCTACCTATATTTGTTTTTCCAAGTCTTTAATACATTTTTGTTGTCTTCCCAGGTTTCAGGATGAGTATTCCATTTGAAAATTATTAGACTTTTATTTAGATATAATAGATTCCTTTCTAACTCTTATTTCCCATTTACCTATGCTAAGTTTCCTTCACTTTGGTTCTTCTGTAAGTAGCCATGTTAAACTACTCGTCATCAGCTTAGTTAACTAGGACTCCTGGTCCTTTTCATACCTGTGTTTCAAGTCTTCACTGTATCTCTGGAGTGATACAGTATTTATTGCTCACTGATTGCTTATCATTTAGGATTGCTTTTTGGATACAAATAGCTGTAGCTTAAACCACAGAGAAGTACGTTATGTCAGAGGTAGATTGAGCTCTTTTTTTCCTTTTTGTACTATTGGTAACAGGTTAACAGTATAGCCTTAGACCGTTAAACAATAGTCTTGTCTTGGTTTTTTGTTTGTTTGTTTGTTTGTTTTGCTGTACTATCATTTTTCCCCTGATCCTGTAGATCTGACAATTTCACTGTAAAACTACATTGTTATAAAAAATCATTCTGAATTTGTTGTTCATCAAGACTGCATTAAAGTTTTATTGTGTACTATCTGTGAAGAAAACTTTTGCTTAGCACCTGAGTGGCATAAAGAATATAACCAAGAAAAAGTGGAACATAATCAGATTATTTAAAGCACTGTACCAGTATTCAGATGAGTAGTGAGCTGATGGTCAGCTTTTGTCACAGGGTACCTAGCAAAATCTCCTTTGGCGACAGTTTATTAACATCATTCGTGTATTACTTTATGGCAGGAGTCAGCAAACTATGGTCAGCAGACCATTTGCTTGTTTTTATTTTTTAATATATATTTTTTAATTTATGTATTTATTTTTCTTTTTTGGCTGTATCGGGTCTTAGTTGTGGCACATGGGATCTTCGTTGAGGCATGCGGGATCTTTCATTGTGACGCGCGGGCTCTTCGTTGCGGCATGTGGGCTTCTCTCTAGTTGTGGCATGCAGGTTTTCTCTCTCTAGTTGTGGCGCACAGACTCCAGAGCGCGTGGGCTCTGTAGTTTGGGGCACACAGGCTGTCTAGTTGAGGCACGTGAGCTTAGAAGTTGTGGCGCACAGGCTTAGTTGCCCCGCGGCATGTGGGATCTTAGTTCCCCAACCAGGTATTGAACCCGCATCCCCTGCATTGGAAGGCAGATTCTTTTCCACTGGACCACCAGGGAAGTCCCTTGTTTTTATAAATAAGATTGTCTTACAACATAGCCACTCCATTCGTTTACCTATTATCAGTGGTTACTCTTGCAGTATAACAGCAAAGCTGAGTAGTTGCTACAGACTATGTGGCCCACAAGCATAAAATATTTACTAACTGATCCTTTTTTTTCTTTTAATTAACTAATTAATTTATTTTTGGCTGCGTTGGGTCTTCGTTGCTGTGCGCCAGCTTTCTCTAGTTGTGGTGAGCAGGGGGCTATTCTTCGTTGCAGTGCGCGGGCTTAGTTGCTCCGCGGCATGTGGGATCTTCCCAACCAGGGCTCAGAGCCGTGTCCCCTGCATTGGCAGGCGGATTCTTAACCACTGTGCCACTAGGGGAGTCCCTATTCTCCTAATTTCTTAACCAGTCCTCTCCATCTACATGCCCATGTCTACAGCTTAATCAAGTGGTAGCAATATTGCACCATTAGGAGAGATGTTCATGCAGATAAGAAAAGAAGGGTTGGTTTTGTTTATTTTGTTTCTCGGTGTTTGGTATGTAGGCCCTTAGAATAAAGAATCAGGTAACATTTTTTTTTCTTGCTTCCCTACAGAATATATTTTGGGGAAGTTCAGCTGAATGGCTTAGGAGAAGGTATGTATCAAGGTTGAAAAACATTTGTAGTATTGTTAAGAGCTCTCCTGACTTCAGAGATATGCTTGGATGCTGCCTGTAATAATACATAGCTTGTGATTTTAGTATGAGTGATACAAGTAAGGAAAAGACAGGTAGGTGGTCCAAAGAGCCACCAGGGAATGAGTGAATAATTTTCCCAAAAGTTCCAGTAACTCAGTATTCTTTCTTACTCTTTATACCAGCGGTCCCCAACCTTTTGGCGCCAGGGACCGGTTTTGTGGAAGACAATTTTTCCACGGAAGTGGGTGTGATACTAGTGATGGGGAGTGGCAGATGAAGCTTCAGTCGCTTGCCCGCCACTCACCTCCTGCTCTGTGGCCCGGTCTCCTAGGGGTTGGGGACCCCTGCTTTATACGACTGTCTGTTTTCCTAATTTTCTACAATGAGCATGTTAAATGTCTCTGATGAGCATCAACAATTTTGAAAAATTGGAAATGAAACCAAGAACACCAGGAAAACTTTGTTGTAACGCTCTGACTCTTTTCTATATTTAGTTCTGGGGTGGCAACTTGGGTGGGAGTGCATTTACTTCATAAATTGAGGTGTTTGTGTGAGAAACTCCCTGTGCCCCTTTGCTGTCTTAGTAGCACATCTGGACAGGGCTGGTTAGGACTTGTTCAAGCTTTAGGACTAATCATCATTTTACCTCTTTGAAGGTAGTTTTATCTGGAAATAGAATGCTGTTTCCCCTGGCAATATTAGGTCAATATGGAATAAATTGAAAAATATATATATATATATCCACACATACACGTATGTATGAAATTGAGGCTGCTGCACTCAGGGTGCTAAGTGGGTAATGCCAGAGATTGTACAACAGGCTAAGTGGTTCAGGGAAAGACAGACTGTGGGTACTGTAAGTATTCTCTGGAAAAACCTAATTATTTATCTCTTTTCCTAGGTTTCCAGACAGTTCGTGTTGGGACAGTGGGTACCCCTGTGGGCACCATCACTCTTTCTTGTGCTTACAGAATTAACTTGGCATTCATGTCCACCAGGTGAGGAAAGAGCTTTGGAATCCAATAGAACTCTTCTAAAGATATTAAAGTTGTTTTCCTCCAAACCTTGTGGCTGAGCCTACAATTCAGCTTCTCCATTGCTGAATTGAGAGAACCCTTCTTCCAGATTGGAGAATCTGAGTGTCCCAGAGCCAATGTAAAATTTGTGGTTTATATTTAGGGATGTAGTAGTTAAGGCTCTGTGGTTCCTGCCAATAGATAAGAGGCGAGGGGCTCTCTGAGGACTTCAGGGGGACTTGACAAGGCATTCTAACAAATACGGCAATCTGCTTACTGCATTACAGGCACTTTGAGAGGACCCCACCTATCATGGGGATTATTATTGATCACTTTGTGGACCGTCCCTATCCCAGCTCCTCGCCCATGCATCCCTGCAATTACAGGTGAGGAATGTGAAAAACACTTCCCCAAACTGCAGCTAGGCAGAAGCATCCATCTTGCACAGGTCCATAGAGCACCTTTATCAACACTCACTGATAGGCAGGGGGCACTGATGGAGACGCCATGTGGAGAGAAGCGGAGTGGCCAGCTTTCATTCTTGCTGCTGCCTATAAGGTATACCAAGACTCAGGGTGGACCAGGTCTCAGAAAATTCTTGCATAGTTTGGATCTGGACAGTAGTGATTTGACTTTTGATTTGATTTTACTTTGAGACTGTGAGAGTGGCAGTAATTTGTAGAATGTCCTTTGCAAATTAAATGGTTTTCAGGTCACCATTGGCTGGCACAATGCAGTTTTATACATCAGAATCAAATATCTCCAGACCTAGATCCCAGATAACAGAATTTTCTAGAGATTGGAATAGATTTGTATCAGGAGAGATACTGCCTTTCTATAAAGGACTCATGAAGTTGGATAGGTTTTGTCTTTAGAGTCTAGACTTTTGTTTCACTGCATTCTCTATTGCTGATAATTCTTGGTCACAACACTGGCCAGGCTTAAGAAAATCCTCTCAAATGATATGTCAGGTAAAATGTTTGGATTAAAAAAAAAAAGCCATTGTCAACCTCTAGATGCTGCTTTCTGGAAATGTTTGAAATTATCAAGGATTCAACATACCTCTCTTGCCATTAGGAACTCTGCCTGAAACAGTTCATGTCACAACTTGCATCCGTATCTAACCTCTCTTTGTATCCTTTCTGAAATTGACTGCCATCAGTCAGTTCATGATTTCTTTTCCACTCACCATAGAACCGCTGGTGAGGACACTGGAGTAACATATCCTTCTGTGGAAGATTCTCAAGAAGTGTGCACCACCTCTTTTTCCACCTCCCCTCCATCCCAGGTAGGGGGAAACAGGATCTGGGGTGGCAGTAGTTATTTGGTACATATATGGGCCTTATGAAATGGTGTCAAAATTTAGATACAGTCTCTTGGTGGTGATGGTGATTATTTCAAGGAGGTTATTTTGAGGGGTGAAGGAGAGCCTTCTTATCCAGCTGGTAATATTGCAGTGTTTCTAGTCTGTAATCATTCTTAACCTGCAAGATTACATGTAACCTTTACCTTCCTGGGACATCTGAAAATTCCCTGAAAATCAGTCACAGAAAATCAGAAATGTGTTCTGGTACCAGAGAGGTACTCTAACCTACACTTGTTAATTTGGTAGCTACTTCTTCTTTGAAGTGGTAAATATGGTTCCTCATAATGGAAGGAGCACAAAAGGAGCCAATGATAATTTAGCATAAAATGCCAGTAAGACACCAGCTGTGCAGTTTTTCTTAATAGTTACACAGATATGTGCCTATCTGCATTCCCTCTCTGAACATTTTTAACCATTAACTTTTCCACTCGAGTCCATCTTCAGTGTCAAATCCAGTTTCAGTAAACACAGTGTCCAAACAATGTGAGAACTTCTCACAAAGAAGTGTTGTGTGATGTATGTGGTACTGAGACTGCTTCAGATAAGGAATCATTTTTGCCAGCTGACTGAATTTCAGAATTTCAGGGGCACATTTCTTCCCTTCCACCCCAAGTCTTCATCTTCTACCCATTGCCTGCCCATCATCTCTATTATTTCCCTCCTCTTTGCTTTCATATTAGATGGTTCTAGACATCAGTCAGTTCTACTTTCCTTGAAATTAGCCCAGATTATCCCTTTTCAGCATCTGACTTGGGGGACCCAACAAATTAAGTAGCTATCCATACATTTTTATTTTCTATGTTTTCTTAATTAAGAAAAAATTTTAATGTATTATATCCTGGGTTGTTAGGTATTGGATTAAAATTATAGTTCTAATTTGTTTTAAAAGCAGAAGTTAAGCACAAAAGCTAACTGGTATGTGAAGCACTTTACAAAATCCATGGATCACTATTATTTCTGTTGTCCCAGTTTAGAGTTAAAGAGATTCTTGTTGTAAAGTTACCTAGACAGTTTGGTTTGGGGGTGTGGAAATGGTTTTTTCCTTCCACCTACTAGTATATGTAGGCATGGATGTCGCCATTGCTCTGGGAGGGGGTAGCTTCTAGTATGCTTGCTGACATGGAACAATCCTGACCAAAAAAGGGGGGGAGAGCCCACTTTCTTACTAGTGCACATTAGTGTGTAGATTGTTTTTTAAGATCATCAGAATGTGAATATGTCATTTAATGTTCATTAAACAGTTTTGTTTTACACGTGATAAATTCATAAACAGTATATAAACTTGGGAGATATGAGGCATGGTGAGTCTGGGCCTTAACAAATCAGTTTGTCTTTTTCTCTGATACAGTGGAAATTCGACCTGACCCCAAAAGTAAAGGGAAGTTAAGTAGTTTCTGTACCTGATGTTTGCAAAAAAGTTTGTTAACCTACGTAAGGAGAGTCTGTATTTTTCATGGTATCAGTTGTGTCTTCTTACAGTTTAAAAGTAGATCACGTCAAGATCTCATCAATACTGAGCACCCCATGGGTGAGCCTTGTCACTTCTCCCTGAGTACCTGTAATCAAGACTGGTACAGTTTGGTGCAGAAATACTCATTTAGAACCTTGATGGTAGAACAGAGAGAGAAATATCATATGCCATCTGGTCTCCTTGTTCCTGTAAATATTGAAATAGTTTCTTCCTTGGTTTAACCTAGGGAATTGCATAATTGTTCAACAACTTCTATTTGAGCTTTTGCTAGAATCCAGTAAATACATGTTAATGAGCTGGGTTCCCCCCCGCCCAACAAAATAAGGATCATTGTGTCATTTGGGCACAGAGTTGAGCCAAGAAATAGTTGTGACCCTGAACCTGCTACTGTGACTTAAGGTCCTACCTCCATTTCTAGGCGTTAATTAGCTAATTGGTGAGACTTAAAGATGGAACAGCAAGACCCAAAACTATCATCATACCCATAATTAGCTTTGAAATCATGAGTTTTGAAAATGCCCTAGCTTTTACTCCATGAAGTTCTCCTACACCGTCAGGGACTGTAAGAGCGTGCACACACACACCCTGATGCCTACACCTGCACACCCCAACTCATCTTCCTTGAGATTATGTAGGAAAGTTTGCAGCTGGGTATCTGAGCATTTTAAAGTTCCAGCCAACAAACGTCAACTGTTTAAACCTGAGCCCGCAGATCCTGAGTCCCCAGAAAAAGGCTTTCAGTCTAACATCTTAACCTCAGTGTCCTCATTCCTGCTTAGCACAACTTGTGTCTGTTCTCAGGACCTTCCTATTGGAAGCTGTTCTCTAGCTTCCACCCTCTTTTGACTAAAGACAGACTAATGCTTGGTTCAGATTTCGCCAAGTCATAGCAGCTCAACTCAGCTTTGTTTTCCACCTGCTCATCAGGGAGAGCACCAGGGATAAACATCTCTTCTTCACATCCTTCCAAGCGGTTCTTTTCCAAAGGCAGTCATGCAGCTCTCTCCCTGCTTCCCTCCTGACTTCATTGTACATTTCAGCCTCTATTGCAACTGCCCTTTCCAGAGTTTTTTCACTTCTTTCTCAAGTCCCTTTTCTTTTTTCTTCTCTTGTTTCTCCTGTCTCTGTGTGTATCTGTGCACAGTGTGTGTTTACTGTCACAAAGGCACATTTTCAGACCCCTACTCCTGTGGTGACGGACACTCTGAGGGTCCCCATGGCAGGACTGGCCTTTTCCCATCAAGTGAGTCCATACTGGGAAGAAGGGGGTATATATAATCAGACGGTATCTTTTTATTTAAAAACTGTAAATAAAGGACAAGGTATAGCTATTTAAATATCCCCAAGTTTTCTATGGGTTATTTTGAGGCATGGTAATTGATTTTTAACAGTATACAGCCATAGCACAGCAGCCCAAAATAGGATTTGTCATTTGCCCCTCCTCCTACCATTGATGTGAAAAATACATGGAGTTGCTTATATCTTTTTTTCCAAATAAACCATCCAAGAATGGTTTTCTTTCTTTTTCAATATAAATAGGAACCCTCCCAAACCCAGTGGTGATGGAGGGTGTGATTAGAGAAGACTGCTTCTGTTTCAAAGGGACCTCAAGGTCAAAGGAGAAAATAGAACGACCTGGGAAAAACCGATGACTTTGGCTCCGAGTTCTGCCCAGGCTTGTGCTCTACAGATCTACTGGGGTGGAAACTGAAACAGTTAGCTGAGCCCCTGGGAAAAGGGGGCGCAGGGAACTCATTTGAGGCTTTTGGAAGACGCAGAGCTGGGAATCTCAATCCCACTGCAAACAAGTCTGCTTTCTTATTTACAGAGTAACGGCCTGGTCTGTCTTTAACCCTTACATCAGGCCCCCCGCACCATGAGGATGTGGGCTGGGATCCATTCCTTACCTCTCTGCCGATCTCGATCATTAGTCATACTCTAGGACTGCCTATTTTTTCCTCCTCCTTTCCTCTGCCCTTCTTTGTTTTTCTCTTGCTTAGCTCTCAAGCTCTCGCCTTTCCTGTCAGCCTGCTGCCCTGGGCGTTGGATCAGCTGACCTGGGTTGTCCAGCCGTGTTTGCTGCCGGCTTAAACACCACACACCCTTACCAGGTATCTTTAAAGATGGGGAGGACACTAGGGGTTCCTATGCTGCCTCCCCTGCCCTGACACATTTGAAGGGCCTCTTGAGACACCAGTGTTCAAAGCTCTTCTGTAGCTTTGGAGGACTAAGATGATTCTGAGCGGGGACCTTTTAGACTTCAAAAAAGGAAAGAAGAGTTTCCCAAGTGTTTTCTCCCTGTCTTTCCCTCTGTAGTCATTTCCATGCATGTCTTCCATTAACTGAGCCCCAGAGAGGATAAAGATTTCCAAGTTTTCCTGCCCACTTGGTGGCAGCATTGGTGATGGAAAAGCTGGAAAGCAGATACCATCATGCTAGGCCGTGAGTTTCCCCTTCTACCTGACACGGCCATGATTCGCTGTATTTTTCCATTTTTCCCCAAAGCTAATGGTTCCCGGGAAGGAAGGTGGGGTACCCCTTGCTCCCAACCAGCCTGCCCACGGTGCCCAGGCTGGTGACCAGGAGAGACTGACAACCTACACCCCTTCTGATGGGGCCCACTGTGCTGCCACACCTTCCAGCAGGTGAGTTCACATCTTGGCTCTGCTGCTCTTTGGACTAGCCAGGGACCTGTCCTCCCCGATACATGTGCTTATTTGGTATCAGTAAAGAGTAGCTTTCAGCATTGGCTCAGGCTTGGCCTTTGAGGGGAAAATGTGGAATCCTTAAAATTCTCAATAAGAATCGTACTTTGCAGCTGATACGTGAGGAAGCTCTCCCTGGGCACTGCTGCTAACAGCAAGCATCGGGCTTGGTGCTTCTCACCCTCATCCAGTGAAGGTGTTTTTCAGATGTTTCTCTCTTACCCCAGGATTGACTCCCTTGGCATCCTCAGTGTTTTCTGAGACCAGAACAGGGCGTCGTTAACCATAACCCTGACATCGGGAGTCACAGTGTGTCTGTGGTGGTAGTTAGGATTGATCTTCTTTTTCTACTATGTTAATGCCTCATGGAGATCCTTTAGAAACAACTATTTTCCCTCACTAAAATTAAAAAAGAAAAAAAAATCTTTTCTGATTGCAGAAGTGATAACAGTCTGTAAAATTCAAAATTTGAAGACATTGATTAGGTGGAAATAAAAGTCCTCATAATCCCACCCTGCAAAAATCACCACGGTTACCTCCTTTTAAAAGACGAGAGGATCTCAGAAGGGTTAAGCAATTTGCCTAAGAGAGCACTTAGCTCACAAAATGGCCAGACACAAGCCTAGCTCCTTGGATTGCAAAGCCTGGGCTTGCTCTTTCCATTACACTCGGAGTTCTGTGGGAAGCTGGGCCTGTCTTGACCTGCCCTTCCCTCCCTTAACTGGAAGGTCTCAGAGATAATGACGTTGATTGCCCCACCACATCTTAAACGAACTTTCAGATAATAGAAATTCCTGGGTTTTTTTTTCCATTCCCACAGTGGAGATGGAGGAGGGGGAGATTGTTTGGGAAGATCTTTCTGTGCCATCCATCAGGAAAAGTAATTACTTTCATTCCTGGCTCCCCAAACTTCCATCCTCTTATCCCTCCTCCTGTCAGAGAATCAAAGGAGGATCCTCTTGGCCATTTTACACTCTCGTTTTCTGAGCCTTGATTCCTGGGGTATGACTGGGAGTAACTTAAGACAGAGGACCCTGTGTAGGGGGTTCTTAAATGCTGGTCCTCCCTGCTGGCTGGAGTCTAGAGGCCACGTGGACTGCATAGTGTTCCCCATCTTGAGCCCCTGCTTTGAGGCTTTCCCATCCCCTGCTGCTTGAAGGGCTATGACTACTAGTCTGGCAGCGACAGTATGGGCCCCTGTTTCTCCTGCCTGGAGTCCCCCATCTTCCAGGACTCAGCCTCGGTCTAGAGGGAGGGAGTGGGAGCAGCCAAATTGAATGTGTCACTGGAACATTTGCTGAACAGAGGGATGCCTGGGGGCAGAGAGAAGGGAGGAAGCATGGTGTGGAGCTTTAGATAGCAAAACAAAACAGGACAGGAAAAATCTAAAATCTTGAGGCTGGCTTTGTAATTAGATTAATATTAAAATTAGCTGCTTATGAGAGCCGCTTGCCTATATGTATGATTGCTAGATGCACGGTGATTGATGCTTAGCATTGGTATTACAGATTAAATTTTATGTAAGCTCTACACAGTTGTAACACCAAGTTTCAATTAACATATGCATAATTTTTAGCTTTTCCAGGAAATGCAGTCCTCTGCTCTCAATTCAAAAGGGAGGGTGACAGTGGCAGCCGCCAGACCTCATATTGCCATTTCCCACATGTGTGAGCTGGTGGGGGGCAACTCCTGCCCTAGGCTGCAGCCTCACAAGTTGGTAGATTTATGGGGAACCAAGTAGGCTCTGCTATGGTTTGAGAATGAGAATCAACATTACCTTTCTCCTCCAGTGAGGATACTGAAACTGTGTCAAACAGCAGTGAGGGACGGGCCTCCCCCCATGATGTCTTGGAGACCATCTTTGTCCGGAAAGTGGGGGCTTTTGTCAACAAACCCATCAACCAGGTGATTTTTCTGCCCCTGCAACTCTGAGAATGTGTGAGCCCTTAGAGTGAGGTCTTACCTGGGATCTGTGGAACCACTGAAATCGCATGCGAAATTGTGTGTGTGTGTGAATTTTTTGTGAAGAGGGTTAATAACCTGTGACATCCCTCCAGAAAAGTTAACTGTTGTTCTGTGATCACATAGGAGAGGAGACCACGCCATTAGGTACAGACACGTTACACTGAAGTGTCATTGCCTCAGCCTAACTTGAAATAGGAAGTTCCTCTTCAGCTCTGCCAGTGAAAAGCAGTTGTTACTGAATTACTGTGGGTCCAGCTTCCAAAACTGAATTACCAGGGTCCTGGGGAGCCCTCACCCCTGTTGATGCTGTGGGCACGCAGTGGGAGGCACAGGAGGTTGGAGAGGTCTCCAACAAGACAGGAACCTGAGGGATGGCATCGTCAGCTGAGGTGTGCAAACGTGCTGGACCCCCAGGCTTCTGGTGGGCTCTGAGGAAGCAGGCAAACTGGGGGAAGGGGGACACTAATACTTTCTCCCATGTCTCTTCAGATGACCCTGACCAGTTTGGACATACCCTTTGCCATGTTTGCTGCCAAGAATTTGGAACTGGAGGATGTGGATCCCATGGTGAGTCCACCATTGACTGAAGTTTGCAGTGAGATGGTGCCGTAGTCGTCGTCCTTCCTGGGCGAGTCATTCACTATTCCTCCACAGACCATTAGCCATGCTCCTTGGCTTTTGGTTTACAGCCAGTGCCCAGAACCAGCCCCTACCTCTGCCTTATTCTGAAACAGGTGAATCCTCCAGATTCCCCAGAGACTACATCTCCTCTTCAGGGCAGCCTGCACTCTGATGGCTCCAGTGGGGGCAGCAGTGGCAATACCCAGGACGACTTTGTCATGATCGACTTCGTAAGTTGCTGTCATCTTCCTTGACCTTTGCTGCTTCGGGGGCAATAAACCTGGAAGCATCCGTTGCACTTGAATAGGACTTCAGGGATCAGAGGGGTCGGTATAGGCAGAGGGAATGGGTGCTGGCTGTGCATCTTATGCGGGGAACCTGCCCTTACACCCTGCTTGGGGAGGCATTTGGAGGCCCATCAGCAGTAAGGCATTTTGTGCCATGTCTTTGATTGAAATTCAACTTGAAATGGGATTTTCCAGTGGTAACTGCATAGGTTCTATTCATGAATGGATAGCCCCCAGCCCTTTTTTTAAATGTTTTAATTTTTGGCCGCATCGGGTCTTAGTTGTGGCACGCGGGATCTTTCGTTGCAGCACGCGGGCTTCTCTCTAGTTGTGGCGTGGGCTTAGCTGCCCCGTGGCATGTGGGATCTTAGTTCCCCGACCGGAGATCAAACCCGCATCCCCTGCATTGGAAGGCAGATTCTTAACCACTGGACTACCAGGGAAGTCCCTGGATAGCCCTTTTCCAAGGAGAGGAGTGTGAAGGAAGGGGACAAAAACCTAACCAGGGGAGAGGGATGTCATCACCAGGCTTAATTCAGCTGCCCAGAAGAGAAAGGTGTAAAGATTTCTCTAAGATAAGTCTGGAGGAGCCTTTTCTTTGCTAATTACTGGAAGGAAAGAGGGTTGTTGATAGCTTACCCCCTCTGATTTTCCTCTGTGGTCCAAGGCAAGCTAAACTTGAGTCTGTCTTGTTTTTTAAGAAACCAGCTTTTTCTAAAGACGACATTCTTCCGATGGACTTGGGAACCTTCTATCGTGAATTTCAGAACCCCCCTCAGCTGAGCAGCCTCTCCATAGATATCGGGGCACAGTCCATGGCTGAGGACTTGGTATGGAAACCCCTTCCCCCACCCCACCTCATCCTCTGGCCTCCTTTCCTCCTTCGATGGTCATTCCTGCTCCACAGGCCTGGAAATTTCTTCCTGTTACTCCTCCACGCCCACACCTCCCATCTTCCCTGTAACAGGACGGAGACTTTTAGACCATTACCTTCCTGGAATCACACTTGAGATTTGCATTGTGCCTGGCGGTCATTATCTCAGATTTGCTTGCGCTCATTTCCTCCTTTTCTCGGCACTCTTGTCACGGCATTTCTCACACACGCCTGTTGTTGGTGCCTGATGTCTTCTGCTTGCTGATGCCACTAAGCCAGGCTGCTCCAACAGCTCTTGCCTTCCGCTGTTAAGGTTGCCAGGCAGATGACAATGGTACAGGGCAGAAGAAACAGAAGGTCCCCAGCATTGGTGTTCTTGCCCTTTCCTCGGAGAGCTCGTTCCCTGGTTCTCGTGTTCAGCCAGATGTCCTGATACTGACTGTAATGACCACATCTCCGCTTAGGGTGTTTCCTATTTCCTGTCTCTGAAGGGCAGAGGAGTGCCCTGCACAGCCGCAAACTCAGGGTGCCCCATGCCACAAGATGTCAGGGTCCCTCTGCTTGAGGTGGGTATATCACCTCATGTGTCAAAATCAGAGGAGTGGCTCTAGGAATAGGAATCTAGGTTTAGCTGCCCTTGATTTGCTTTAATCAGGAAAGCATGCTCAGTAATAATAATACAGCAATAATGTCATTATTATTAACATTTATTGAAGCTTTCTAGGTGCCAAGCATTTTTTAAGTGTTTTACATGAATCTTCAATGACCCTAAGAGGTAGGTTTTCTTATTATCCCAGTTTACAGATGAGAAAAACGACACTGGGAGCAAATAACTTGCTGGTGGTTACACTGAGCTGGCAAAACAAACTTTGACCCCTAAGAGTCTGGCTTCTGATTTTAGGCTTTTAACCATTGGCTCCCTGGCCTCTCATTTGAAGTTTGCCTGGAAGGAACCGGAGTCCAAAGGCTCAACGTGAGGCTGCAGCCAGTGCTGGCTGGTTGCCCCAGCCTCCCAAACCCGCCCGGGCATCTGGCCTGTCTGGGCTGCCTTGTAAGTCCTGTGGCACCAAGTATCTCGTGCCTGTCAGGAAGTCTTCTGTGATGGCTGAACTCTTCAAATGCAAATTCATCAGTGGAGACAGACCACCTGATTAGGACCAAATTTTAATTAATGGTTGATACCTGAGGGCAGTTAAACTTAGCTCCTCATGGTTCTGTTTTTTTGTTTTCATTGTTCTCTCTCAACCCCATCTAACCCATCCCCTTCTCAGCTGATGTAAAGATGCAGATTCCTAGGCCTCACTGTAGACCTGCCGGGTCAGAATCTCTTGGGAGTATGGCTGGGACTGCCTTGTTCATGTGCCCCCAGGGGATTCTGATGCCTGCCCAGCGCAGGCTGTGAAGAAATCATTTGTACATGTTCTGAATTTGTAGGGCTCTAAACCTACTGTGTTATTCTAATGTCAGTCTCATCAGTGCCAAAGATACTTCACGTTGAATTTCTCTGTGTCATCCCGTTGTTGGCATGGTCCTTTTCCATCTCATTGTGTGTGTGGCCGGCTTAGATTCCCTAGGCTGTTCTGTCCACCTCCCCAGCCCCCACTAACCCCTGCTGGGCAAAGGCCCACTGGCCAGTGCCTGCTCAGTTGCTCCGCACTTTGCTCTCCAACCCAGCACTGCTGAGCCGGACTCTTTGCCGTGCTCCCTTCAGCCCAGGGTGACAGCTGGCTTCAAGGCCCTACCTGAATAAGCAGCTTTTCTCTCCCCTCCCGGTACAGGACTCACTACCAGAGAAGCTGGCTGTGCACGAGAAGAATGTCCGAGAATTTGATGCCTTTGTAGAAACCCTGCAGTAAAAGTTGGTGTCCTCGAGTACCAGCAGCATCCCCTTTTTGTGGTCCCAGGAGACAGAGAGCCTCCCACTCGTCAGCTGCTCCCATCCCTTGTCCCGCTTCAAGCCAGGTGAAGGGGAGGCTGGTTCCCCCGTGGGGACCCGGAAGTCCCTGCTCTTGCACTCCTGGAGACTCACGGCAGCGGTGAAGGCCAGTGGTAGCATTTGAGAGGACTCACCCTCTGACCTCCCTCTGCAGGGCCCTCTGCTTATACCGCCCTCAGCAGCTGCTTCCCAAAGGCTGTCGTCCCGCTCCTCCACCGGCCCCTGCCCCGGGTTCGCCCAGCAGCTGGCCCCTCGCCTGCCTGCCGTTGCCATGCGCCATTCGACATTCCGGCTGGTGGCCCAGAGACTGGTGTGGAGGCAGAAAGAGGAAGGAGACAGTGCTAGGAGGAGGAAGGAAGGAAGCTCTCCTTCAGGGTCTTTCTCTGTTAGTTCTGCTATCTTCTTCCCCTCTCTCTCTCCCTCTCTCTGCCCCGTGCCTGTATTTTTGGCAGTATGGCAGGCTTCCTGCCCAAGGTGATGAGAACCCTAAAGTCAGCCATTCCCACCCTTGAAGGCTGTGCCAGCCCGTCCGAGCAGCCCTGGCGGCTGCCTGTGCTCAGCTACATGGAAACAGAAGCCTCCCTCTCTAGGATTCTGTCATTGGAGTCACAGCAAAGGTTCTTCTCTTTCCTCTCCCTTCCCCTGTCATTGCTCCTTGGTTATAGAACCCAGTAAATATTTATTACTTTCAGAGAAATCAGATATTTTGTAGAGAAAACATGTTTGAGGTTAGACGTTTTCACTTGGGGAAGGTTGGAGGGCCTCTTCCTGGGGCAGCGCCTCCTCCTGTAGAGGTTCCTTGGATTTAGGTTGCTGCCCTGAGGATTTCCCTTCCCATGTGTATATGGTGGGATCCAAGAATAGGGCTGGCTGAGGGCAGCAGAACCTCCCAGAATTGCTGCATTTGAACTGACATCACACTCTGCCTTGGACGTGTACATATTCCTGGTGAGAACTTTGAATCTCCCAGCTTCCCCAGAGAGACTGACTCTGTTCTGGCAGCCCAGGAAGTCTTGGGTGCGAAATGTGATGACTCCCCAGAGTTGTGGCACGTGTAGTGCCCGAGGGGCGCTGTGGCCCCGGGGAAGGCCAGAGAGGCCCCTCCTCCTGGGGCATTTGTTCCTGATTCTCAGGGCTGGGTTATGGGCCTTTTCCTGCTAGGCCTAGCCACCGCCTTTCCTTAACCCCAGGGTCTGTACACTGCCCTGAGGTTTATTAGTTGGATTGGTTCCTTGTTGAGAAACCAAAACTGGGCATTCAGGTGTTGTTACTTGAGTTAAGTCAAGGGCCCAGCCTCACCCACTGACCATCTGTTCCTCCCCGCCTAACTGATAGGCCCAACCCCGCTTCTCTGGCCCACCTCGGGTATTCATTGGCAGCAGCTGTTCTGCAGCAGAGCAGGTGGCCCTCAATTGCTTTTTAGCAAGTGCACGTGGCATTGTTTTCACCTACAAGGCTGATCTCAGGGCTGGGGTCAGCTCTGATGCTGCCTCAGTTGGGCTGAGCCCTGCCCCTGTGCACACATTCTCCAGTGTTTCTAGGGCTTCCCTGGTGGCGCAGTGGTTAAGAATCCGCCTGCCAATGCAGGGGACACGGGTTCGAGCCCTGGTCCGGGAAGATCCCACATGCTGCAGAGCAGCTAAGCCCGTGCACCACAACTACTGAGCCTGTGCTCAAGGGCCCGCGAGCCACAACTACTGAAGCCCGTGCACCTAGGGTCCGTGCTCTGCAACAAGAAGAGAAGCCACCGCAATGAGAAGCCCGTGCACCACAACGAAGAGTAGCTAGCCCCCGCTCGCTGCAACTAGAGAAAGCCCGCACACAACAACGGAGACCCAACGCAGCCAAAAATAAATAAATAAATAAAATTTGAAAAAAAAAAGTGTTTCCAGTAGTGGCGTCCAGCTGGCCATCCTGTCTCTGGGCCAGAGCACACCTGTGGCCTGCTAAACCAATCCAGGCTTACCCCCCAGGCCCCAGCACTGAGACGGGCGAAGGCCCTGGTAAGTTACTGATTGCCCCCCACTCCCCCACCTCGTCCCAATATGTCAGCCGCTGCCCTCTTCCAAGGCCAAGCATGGAAAGGCCTGTTAGCCATTTGCCTCTTTGACTCCTAATTGTTGGCCTCTGCAGGCAGCAGCCTCTCTTCAGGACCCCATCAGTGAGAGGCCAGGGAGGCTGAGCCCTGACTTTGAGCTGAGCCTGGGAGGAGCAGAGCAACTGTCAAGGCCGGCCCTTGTCCCTCAGCCCTGTACAATGAAAGGTATGAGCCCTCGCCGGACCTGCACAGCACCCCCGGGACAGGGCTGGGACCAGTCATGTCTCCAGGTGGGAGAGCCCCTCCCGCTCCTCCAGCCTACTTTATTTGGAAATACTGAGCTATACTTTAAAATGTATTCAAGGGATTTCCAATAAACTTTTTCTGTACTTTATAGCCTCCTGTCCTGCAAGCTGTCGAAAAACCTAGCCCACTTCCTCCCACCACTGGGCAGCCCCGGGTCACCGACAGGCTCCGTGGAGGGAAGAGCGGTGCCATGTGAGGCACAGCAAGGTTTCAGAGCCATTCAGGCTGTTTGGAGTCCTGGGGCCTTGGGCTGGTCGGGAATTTTTTTTTTTTTTTTTCCTGGCGGCACTGTGCAGCACGTGGGATCTTAGTTCACTGACCAGGGATCAAACCCAGGCCCCCTGCATTGGGAGCACGGAGTCTTAACCACTGGACCAACAGGGAAGTCCCAGGAAACCTCTTAGAGCCTTATTTTCCTTGGCTGTAATGTTTCCATTTCAAGGGTTGTGTGAGAGTATTCAGTGAGATAACATGTATGAAGTAGACGTGCATGTGAGGTACGCCCATAGGAAAATCCTCAGAACGGGTAGGCCGTTTTCTTCAGCTCTCTATCCTTCCTATGCAGCACAGCTCACCACTCACCCTGGGCAACAGCCTTTGGCTCAGAGGGAAAGACAAGTGACAGGTCCCTGCCATGTTTCCAGCAGAGGCCAAGCAGGGGGCGGGGGACTCCCCAGACTGCTGGGCTATTTGCTGATCTGGTGTGAGGGGTTGTGGCTGAGCAAACCAGACAGAAGGGAAGGGACTGAGTGAAGTAAGTAGAAGTCCAGGTCTCATGCATGTTTGTTTAGCTGCCCTGATCTGACAAACAGCTCCTTCCTCCTATTTCGCCTGCAGTGGCGGGAGGGAGTGGAAGGTAGAGCTGGTGTCCCAGAGGAAGAGGTGGTTCTAGAGACCGGAGACTGACAAACCCAGGCAAGTGCTGTCTTGGTTGCCTTCCATGCCCTTCAGGCCAGAAGCCACGCCCCAGGGCAGAAGAGGACTAGTTAGAAATTCTAGATTCAACCCAAACCTGGGGCTGAAAAGAATGGGCCCGCCCACTGCTGCCGCTTTGGGCCCTGGGAGCCCTTGCTTGTTAGTGAACTGCATGTGACGCTGACCATGATACCTGACCATGCATCCAACTCCTGGGTCAGAAATGGTGGAAAGACTGTCGGAGTCCTCACCTTCAGGTAGGGGTCCCCCAAAAGCAAAGTGTTCAATTGCCCCTCATCTGATGGTATCCTACCCTTTTAAGCCATGTCACTACACTCTGCCCCCAGAGACCCACTGTTGCCAAGGCAGGGGTAAACTGGCTTTTGAGTCACTCGGCAGAGGCCCTGCCAGGAGCCCAACCCAAGTAAACAGCTCTCCGTCTCCTGCTCCCCTGTCTTGTCATTTTTTTGGGTCACTGCCCTTCTGTTCTAAATAGTCACCCAGCTTAGAGCTGAGCAGAGCCAGGGAGACAGGCTGCCAGTGCCTCTGTTCGAGCTACCTGGACGAAGGTCACAGTTGTGCAGGCGGACTGGCTTCCTGGAGCTCAGTGCCCGTGTTTATAACCATTGTCTCGATCCTGCAGCTTTGGCCCGGCTTCCCCAGCCCCAACAAGCAATGAGGAGAAAAAAAGAACAGGCCTGCCTGAGGCCATCATAGCCTCCTGATTGCAGTCAGCAGGCAAGCAGCAGACAGCTGGAACTTGACCAGTGTGCCAAGTGGAATTCTGGCCTGCCCTCCCTGTGACAAACCATTTTAGTTTTTCAATTGTAGTGAAATACATGTAACGTAAAATTTACCACATTAACCTTTAAAGCAAAGCAAAACTGCTCGAAAGAGGAAAGCTGGATCTTTCATAGCCTCCACGTGACTAGGTGGCAGGTGGAAACAGCCAAGGCTCTCAGGCTGAGGGGCGGGGTGGGGAGGACCGGAATGGCTGGGAGATGAGGGTTCCAACCCTGGCTGCTGTACAAGGTTGGGACTATCACTTCATTCCTCTGTGAAATGACCATCATTCTGGTTCCCACTGGGCACTCATTCTGTTATGTAGTGTATATGTTACGGTCGGCCCTCGCACCTGTGGGCTCCACACCCGAGAGTTCCCCCAACCTTGGATAGAAAAATATTTGGAAAAAAAAAATTCCAGGAAGTTCCAAAAAGCAAAACTTGAATTTGCTGCATGCTGGCAACTATTTACATGGCATTTACATTGTATTAGGTATTATAAGTAATCTAGAAATGATGTAAAGAGAGGATGTGTGTAGGTTATATTGCAAATACTACACCACTTGATAGAAGGGACTTGAGCATCCTTGGATTTTGGTGACGGGGTCGGGTGGCTGGAACCAGTCCCCCACACATAGGGACGACTGTGTGTCTGATCTTCAGAGAAATGAAGTAACAGTCTCGGACATGGGACCAGTTACATGACAATTACCAGTTAGAGCTGGTTGTGAGTGATGGAACTAGGATTCGAACCCTGGTCTCACTCTAAAGCTTGTGCTGTGGTCCACCACAGTCTGCTCTGTTTCGGGGAGAGAGGTCCTGGTTTTAGGATATAGCACTTGGTGGCCAGGTGGAATGTATAGGTGCAAAAAGGAAGGGGACTGTTCACACTTCTAAGCCTGGAATATGGTCAGAAAGCTGGCTTCATACCGGCTCACAAGTGAGCAGGATGAGGAAGGGGTCAGATTGACTGGGGAGGGGACTTCCCGAAGCCCTATCTGCTCTTCTTCCGCAGCCATACCACACCTCCCACCCAGTTATGAGCCTCCATGCCCACTTCCTTATCAGCCAGATGGGCAGTTTTCCATCTCCATTTTTATTGAAGTATAAAAAGTGCAAAGGTGAAATACATGATTGGTGCCAAGGAAGTCATTGTGAATGTGAATACTTGATTCACTGTACAAGTCCCCCCACCCCCAGGTAAAGACCAGTTGGGGGTGGATAGGGGAGAGACCAAATAGACCCACGAGGCTCCCCAGTAAATGGGGCTCTGAGCAACACCTGATACAAAGGAAGGCAGACAGAAATCAGAAGCCTGGGCCTGGCCTGGAGACACAGGGACTGATAGCAGCCACACCAGGCCTTGGGACTCCTGACATGCTAGTGTCCTGGGAAAAGAGCCCAGTGAGGTCAGGCCCAGGCCACACCCGGCTCGCAGATGGGGCAGGACTGGTCAATGAGGACCGCCACAGTACAGGCTCTGGCCAGGGCTGCAGGAAGGTGGTTCACCAGGAAGGGACAGCTGGAAAGAGGGATATCCATCTTCATCAGGGTCCAAGGGGAGGTTGCTAGAACTCACCTGGCAGGGGCCAATCTAATTAGCAAAATCCCTACCCAGCCCCTCCAGGAGTCCGAAACTGGAGGAAGGAGCCACCCCAGATCTTGAGGCACTGAATCACCCCTGGCCAGAGCAGGGACCGGTGTGACTCCACAACAGACATGCCTAAGGATCTGTCCAAGTAGGAAGGGAGGGGAGGCAAGGCATGGGGGGTGGAGTGGGTGGGGACTGGTTGTCAGTGGTCTGACCAGACACTAGGAGGCTCTCAGGGGTGAGAGTGGGGTGTCTATTTTGAATGGATGCTGGGACTCAGCCCTATCATCCAAGCTGCCAGTCCTGGCAGAACCAGGGTGCTAAGACACCCTGGGGGCAGTACCACTTGGGAAAGGCTGACCCAGGATGTGTGGAAGAGAAGGCAGACATAGGACTCCAGGCTGTCATTCGTTAACTGTGTAAATACCAGAGGCTGAGCCACCAGAGGGGAGGACAGGAACAGGGTGCTTGCAACCAGGCCTTCACCCAGACAGGGAGGAGTCACAGCAGGGCCAGCCCAGGCCAGCTCAGCCTTTCATTCCCCAGCAGTCGGGAAGGGGAGGACCAGCCCCAGCTACCAGCCCAGCCGGCAGTGATTTTGGGATCTCCAGTTGCCAGGGGAAGAGGCAGGAGAAAGCAGGTAAGCAAGCGGTTGCTGGGGCCAGTCCTCCTGCCTGAAGAGCAAGGCCAGCTCTGCAGAGCCCGGCAGGAGCCAGGGATCCAAAGAGGCAGTGAGAAGTATAAGGCGAAGAAAAACGTCTTGTGGTTACAGCGAGGCCTCTGGCGCCGGTGAGGTGGGCTGGACAGGAGGGGAGGAGGAGCTGTCCAGTTGGCTGGCTCCAGCTTCTGTCTCCAGGGGGCTCACAGCCCCTTTCTGGGCAGGAGCCCTGGGCTCCCGTAAGGCTGAAGCCAAGAGGAAGAGTCCAAACCGGGGCTATCAGAGAAGGGGGCGGGTGGGGCAGGGGCTGGGCTCAGAGCCCCTTGGAGTCAGGGCTGAAACAGCTCCCCTTGATGATCCAGGAGGAACTTGGTGAAGGTATTGATGGGATTAATGGCCTTGAGGGTGATGGCAGCATCCTTGGCCCACAGCAGGTTAGGGCCGAAGACAACAGCCAGGTTAGTGTTGGTCATCTTGTTCTGGTCACAGAGGGCAGAAATCTGTGGAAGGAATCAGGGGGCTGCAGCAGGAAGCCACAGACGCTGCCTCCCACGCCTGGCAACCACGCCCAGGAGCAGCAGCCACGGCAACTCCTCCTCCCTCTCTCCTCCAGGTAAGCGGTAGAGGCCCAGGCCGAGGTCTCACCTGCACCAGGAAGGCAGTGAGGAAACGCAGCACCAGGTAGTTCTCCTCGGGCAGCATCTGGAAGGCCTGCAGCGTGGCCTCCACTCTCTGGCTCTCATCAATGTCTATGAGGAAGGGGGGCCCAGGTCACAGGGGCCCATGGCTGGACTGGTTCGGGAAGCCCTGTCATGAGGCTAGGGGGAAGACCCAACCAGACTTTCCTTGAAGGACAGGCCAAACCCGCCTGCTCTGAGTCCAGCTGCAACCCCACCCTGCAGAAGCTGGAGAAGGGGGAGAGGGGCACTCACTGAGGAAGCCCACAACGTGGGAGTAGAGGTCAAAGGTGAGCAGGGGCTCAGGAAGCTCCCGGAGGAAGGTCTTGAGAATGACCGCTGGCAGGTGCAACTCATTGTACTGGTCGAAGTCCACAGGCAGCCCTGGGGGTGGGGAGGGGAGGAGCTGGGCTGAGCCTGGAGACCAGCAGCCAATCCGGAGGCCAAGCAGGCCCCACAGCCTGACTTCACCCTTGGCCACAAGCCTCCTCCTCCCACTGGGACAGGGGGCACAGGGTCAGGCCATCTGGGGAGTGGGGCCCCCGAGCACACACCACAGTTATTCCTCGCCTCTGAATGACCCTGAACCCAGGCTCCAGAAGCCTGACCTATGAGAAAGTAGGCCTGGGACAACCAGGCAGGAGTGAGACACATGTAATTATACCAAATGCCACAGAAAACTCACACTCACACACACACACACACACACACACACACACACACACACACGTGTGCGCACGCAGGATCTGTACTGGCCCTCTGGGCTTTGACACATCCCTGGGGCCACTCACCCATGTTGTACTTCTGTTGCACTTCCCGTACAACTTGGGTGTTGGCCGACCTCCGGAAAATCCCCTCAGTGGTGAGAGCTGGGAAACAGTGGGGCCTGGTGAGTCTCAGAGCTCTGGGGCAACGTGCGGACTCCCCACCCATTCTGTGTCTTGGGGTCCTGGTCAGGGTCAGTGTGGGTGCTGGCGCACGTGGGACCTTGCCCAGCCCTGCCCAGCGGCTTCCCGAGGGGAGAGGGCTCCCTGGCACTCACCGTGGGCCTGTAGGTAGGCAACGGTCTCCCGCAGCACGAGTGGAATGGGCTCCTGCTCTGGGTTCTTCTCCCGGAGGCTGTGGGCACAACGCAGTGACGGGTTTGCAGTCCTCCTGGTCCCCAGGTTCCAGCCCCACCCACCTTTCGCATACTCACTGCTGCAAGGAGACCCCGAACTGCTGGTTGGGCAGAGGGGGCCGTGGTGGCATGGGCTTGGGGGCTGTCGCAGGGCTCTTCTGGGTGGATTTGAGGAAGTCATCATACCTGGGGAAGCAGCGGGGAGGGTCAGGGCCCCTACCTGGTTCTGCAGTCACTATGGCAACTCTTGTTTGTCAGGCACTTACTGTGCTATCTTACATGGATAACCTCATTCAGTCCTCCCACCAACCCAGCTTTACACAGAAGTGAAGACTTTAAAGAGGTTCAGTTACAGAGCTTTTCAGTGACAGATACGGGATCTGGACTCGCTCTGTCTGACCCCATGTGCTGCCCCTTACTCATCACATCTGCTTCCCCTGTGTATCCTGGTGCTGTCAAGGCTGCTTCTCCCCTTGGCCGGCACATCCTACCCCCACAAACATGATATATGTGGACAGTGTGCCCGGTGGGCACACACAGCCCCCACCGCAGTCTCACTTGAGCACTTGGCGAGGGATCCCCAGTTGCTCCAGCTTCACATGCTCGCTCAGCTCACTCAGGTAATTCACATAGAAGATCTTCTGCCCAAACTTGAAGCTGCCGATGGAAGAAAGGGTGTGGGTCCAGAGTAGGCCCGCTTCAGCAGGCCTCCACTTTCTCCTCAGCAGCCCAACCAGATCAGACTGAGGCCTAGCCCCAAAGTGGTCAGTCCCCAGGATGCTTGGCTTCCTCAGGTATCTGCTTCACAGTTCAAGGGGAAGCACAAGAGACGAGTGCCCCGCCCTGGGCCCACTCACCTAATGATGGGCTTGAAGAGGATGAGCAGGGTCTTGATGAACATGGTGGGGTGCACGATGTACAGAGCCTTGATATTCTTCTTGTACCTGCAGAGGCAGAACGGGGAACTCAGGAGTGGGCATGGTAGGAGAGGCACAGAGCTAAGCTCTTAATGTACAGTTACTGATTTGATGACTCATAGTAAGCCTTCGAGGTAAGTGCCATTGTTGCCCTATTTTACAGATTAGGAAACGGGCTCAGAGAGGTTAAGTAAGATGAAAGGTCACAGAGCGAGTAAGTAGAGAAACTGGGATTTAAGCCCAGGCCATTCCAACTTGAGACTCTTTGTGTTTAGTTTACCCAGGTAGGGGGGACCCGCCTCCCCTGGCATGGAATACGTTCCTGCCCAAGCAGAGGGCAGCCCAGAACCCGGCAGAGCTGCTGGCCCCTGGGCCCTGGAGCTCCTCCGAGGCCCTAACCCACTTGCGGTCAAACTCCCGGTAGGCGTCCCGGAGCCAGCTGAGGGAGGGCTTGTTGTCGCTGGTCAGGCCATGGTGCAGGTAGAGCAGCGTGTAGTCACTCTCCACGTACTGGTCCAGGGTGTGCTTCAGGTATCTGTAAGAGATGAGCCCCCCTCAGGCCTGGCCTGTATGCAAGTGGGGCCCCATTAAGACAGAACCAGTGCCCCAGGAATCCCCTCTCCTGCCCTGTCTCTTCTGGCTGCATCAGTCACCATGTTGGGGTGGAGGAGGAACGAGGTAGTGGCTGGGCTGCGTGGAGGAATAATAAGAACAGCAGCAGCTCTCAGGTTTGAGCACTGACTAGGAGTCAGGAGACCAGGACTCTAACTGGAGCCATCTCACATACCTGCAGTAAAAATGGGAATAACATTTCACTCACAGGATTGCCCTGAGTCAACAGTAATGATGACAGTCACCATTTACCAGTATTAAGCTTAGTGTCTACCAAGCACTTTGTATGCAATATCTCGTGCCTTCCTCATTATAATGGAGGCCAATACTATCCCCTTCTTTCGAGCGAGGGCAGTGAGGCTGAGAGAGGTCAAGTGCTTCTCTGAGGTCACACAGCTTGTGGTGGAGACTGGAGGTGAACTAATCCAAGTTTCGCCTTGTTGATCATGGGACAGCTCTGCCTTTTACACTCCCAGCGCTGTCTGTAGAACACTGTGCCCACGAAAGGGGATCAGGGTGGTCAGAGGGTCCCCTCCCCTGCTCCAGTCACTGGACGTTCTGTGGACCAAAGACCCACACCTCAAGTTCCCTATGCTCACAACACAATACCTACCACCCAACACAAACACACATAAGGGTGTTGGGCCCACCTGAGGTGGAGAAGTATGAATTGAGTGAACGTGAATTCCAGAAAGGGAGAGGAGCCCAGTGGAAAACCCTCTTTCTGGTTGGCCAACAGCTCCCAGGCCCCAGCAGGAACACCACTCCAGGCTGGGAGGCTGGGCATGCAGGAATGCTAAGGGCTTCCAAGGGGAGGAGGGAAAGGAGGGGAGGAGGGAAAGGAGGGGAGGAGCCTTTTTATATTTTTTTAATGATTTGGAAAGCTTACAGTTATTAATTAGAAATCTGACGGCTTTTGTTTAAATTTATTTAATTAGTTAATTTATTTTTGGCTGTGTTGGGTCTTCATTTTTGTGCGCTGGCTTTCTCTAGTTGCGGTGAGTGGGGGCTACTCTTCACTGTGGTGCGTGGGCTTCTCATTACGGGGGCTTTTCTTGTTGCGGAGCATGGGCTCTAGGCGCGCAGGCTTCAGTAGTTGTGGCTCATGGGCTTCAGCAGTTGTGGCACATGGGCTCAGTAGTTGTGGCTCGCGGGCTCTACAGGGCAGGCTCAGTAGTTGTGGCGCACAGGCTTAGTTGCTCCACGGCATGTGGGATCTTCCTGGACCAGGGCTCCAACCCGTGCCCCCTGCACTGGCAGGTGGATTCTTAACCACTGAGCCACCAGGGAAGCCGGGGAAGGAGCCTTGGGAAGTGCCCAAGGATGTGACTAAGTGCCCAGACACAACCTGACCTATCCCAGAGAGGCTAACCTAAACATTGGTCCATGGGTGCCAGCACTGGCGGACATGTGAGGTGTCTTATGCTGGATTTATTATCTTGATTCCCATCATTATCACTATACAGTTAATTTACCCCTTACACACATTGAGCACTTTGCAGTTTGAAAAGAGCTGTCACATAAAAGAATGGCATTTTGCAACTATAAAATAGCAAAAGTTAGGGACTTCCCTGGTGGTCCAGCAGTTAAGACTCTGTGCTTCCACTGCAGGGGGCATGAGTTTGATCCCTGGTTGGGGAACTAAGATCCCACATGCCACGCAAAAAATAAATAAAAATAAATAAATAAAATAGCAAAAGTTGTAGTGAAAATACACTCACCCTTTGATGAATGTTATGACCTTTTGGAGGTCAATAAAGTGATGTTTATCGGAAGCTATAAAATGTTCATACTCTGACCTGATAAAAATATGTCCAGGAATTTATCCCAAGGAACTAATCAAAGATGAACAGAAATGTTTTTGTAAAAGGCTGTTCATTATAGCCTGTTTTATAACGGGGGGAAAAAATGAGCAGCAAAGTAAGTGTCCAAGAACAGAATGTTGGTTAAATAAATCACAGGAGATCTATAAATAGAACACCTCACAGGATGTTTCTGCAGACAGAACCAATCTGTGAAGTTGGACGTGAGAACAGTGGTTACCCTTTGGGGTACTGCCTGGAAGAGCAAAGGGAAGTTTGTAGGTGTGGATGACATGGGTGTACTTCGTTTTTGAAAATTCATCAAGTAGTATACATAATGTGTTCACTTTTCTGGATACACATATGTCAAAAATTTTTGAAAGGATATCCTTGAAGAATGTTTAATGCTCAGAATATAAAAACATTATGTAAGATACAAAACTGACTATAGAGTTCTGTATATGTTATAGAAAAAAATGGGAAGTGAATACACTAAAATGTTAACAGTGGTTTTCTCTCTGGGTGGTGGGTTTATGGGAGACTTTATTTATTGCTGTCTGTATTTTTTCTTAATAGCTATCTACATTGTTCTACATTCTTGAAATCTGTGATACTTTACAAATGAATACAGTGGCATTTCACAGGGCTCAGGAGAGACCTGACCCCAACCACACAGCTAGTAAGAGGCAGAGTTGAAGTTTAACTGGTCTTCTGCATCCAAGCTTCAGGCACTTTCTATTTCAACCCCCCAGATCTGGCTGGACAGCTGGGAAAAGCCAAGTCTGAGATAATCTGACTGAAAATAAGATGACAGGACTGATGCATGATGAAAGCACCTCCCTGCCCGGCCAGGTGGTGGCGGGGAGATCCCACTGGCAAGGAGTGGAGGATGGACAGGATGGGTGACAGAGGGCTTCCCGAAGGCAGACGAAGCCCCAGAGTGGAGGCAGCCTCGCTCAGCACGCTCTCTCCTGAAAGCTGGGTGCTTTCCCATCCACCTCCTCTGACCTCCTCCCACTTAACCCATAATCTGGCCAGGAGTCTGTCACCTGCCTTGTCAGATGCTGTGACAATAAACCCAGAAAGGGGGACAGGTGACTCAGCCACCCTCAGGCTGGGCTTCTTGGCCTGTTCCTGGCTGGGCCACATGGCGGGCCTGGAGAAGGCTCTGCCTGCCTGCACAGTGGAGGAGCAGTGGGAGGAGGGCTCAGGAGACCAGAGAGAAAGCATTCACACAAAGCTGGAGAGACTCGGGCCTGGCCCTGGCTCACAGGACTGCACGGGCTCTACAGTCAGGCCCTCCCCTTCTGTTGCTGTAGCCCCGGACTGTCCCCACCCCAACACCAGCCCCTCCACACACACAACCATTCAGGATCCCAAAGAGCTGGTAAGGGCGGGGCAGACATTTGCAATTGCAGGAAGTGCTTTAAAGTGTCAGGAAAGGAGTGCAAGATGGAAACTGTACACACAATGAGGAGCCTCAGGAGGAAGTCAGTTATGGCTCTGCCTCCAGGGATCCCGCACCTGCTGTGGGCCCAGCACTGGCCTAGTGGTGGCTCAACGATGAACACTTATCAGAACAGTCTGTCAAACTCCTGCTTTCAATCAGCCTTTGGACTTGCATCAGATTTCTAGACCAAACAGCTATTACCTGTATTTAGCTATTAGAACCTGGATAGGTAGAGAAGTTGTTGGCACCAGATTTGGCACAAAATAACACTAATTATTCATGTAAATGATGAACAACTGCAACTGCCTCAGAAGTGCACCATATCGTTATCATAGTCAGTCCTCACATTTGGACGGTATTTTACTTTCCAAAGCATTTTCAAATGCAGTATCTCACTCCTATGAGGAACAAGGGCTGTATTATTATTCCCCAAGAAGAGTGAAGAAAAAGAGGCTTAAAGAGATGAACACACTTTCCAAGGTCACACAGATGGTTTCCAGGACTAGAAACCAGATCTGACACCTAGCTCAATGCTCCCAATATCCCTCAGGAGAAGAGGGGAGGCCTTGAGGGAGGTGGCTTGGTACCCCCGGGGCAGGAAGGGACAGTAAGGAAAATGGCTCCAGGCCATAGTGGGGATCTGAGCACGGGTTCCATCACTTCCCCATGGGTACTCACCCCAGGAGCTTGCTATGGTCCAGCTGGTGGCTCGGGGGCATTCGGCAGGCACTAAACACAATGATCTTCCGCCCATACTTGTCATCTCCTAGGTGTGGAGAAAGGTGGAGCACAGTGGGTGAACAATAAGCCAAGAGAAGTCAGGTGAGGATCTGAAAGGGGCCAGGCCTGGAGACTGTACCATTTAGCGTTGGGGCCAGAGTGGCCCATGCGGACAGACCTCTGGGCAGGTGCCTGCACTCAAGGGTGTGTCACTGAAGAAAGAGGGACAGGTGGTCTCAGGGCTACAGAGCTGGGGCACAAAAAAATAACATGACTTCTTAAAAAGTCATGCCTGGCGCAAACAAGCCAAATGTCCATCAATGGATGGGTAGATGAAGAAAATGTGGTGTATCCATGCAATGGACTATTGGCTATAAAAAGGAATGGAGTACTGATACACGCTACATTGTGAATGAACCTTGAAAACATGATGCTAAGTAAAAGAAGCTGGACATAAAAGGCTACATATTGTTTGGTTCCATTTATATGAGCTATATAGGTAAATCTGTAACAACAGAAAGCAAATTAGTGGTTATAGGTGCTGGGAGGAAGGGAGAATAGGGATTGATGCTTATGGTTATGGGGGTTGGTATGGGTGAAACTATGGATGAAATGGATGAAATGATGGAACTAGATAGAGGTGGTGGTTGTTCAACATTGTGAATGTACTAACTACCACCAAAGTATACACTTTAAAATGGTTAATTTTTTTTTTTTTTTTTTGGCTGTGTTGGGTCTTTGTTGCTGTGCACGGGCTTTCTCTGGTTGCGGTGAGCGGGGGCTACTCTTCGTTGTGGTGCGCAGGCTTCTTATTGTGGTGCTTTCTCTTGTTGCGGAGCATGGGCTCTAGGCGCGCGGGCTTCAGTAGTTGCGGCACGCAGGCTCAGTAGTTGTGGCTCGCGGACTCTAGAGCACAGGCTCAGTAGTTGTGGCACACGGGCTTAGTTGCTCCGTGGCATGTGGGATCTTCTCAGGCCAGGGCTTGAACCCGTGTCCCCTGCATTGGCAGGCGGACTCTTAACCACTGCGCCACCAGGGAAGCCCCTAAAATGGTTAATTTTATGTTATATAAATTTCACCATAACTAAGAAAACAAAAAAAGTCACACCCGCCAAAGCAACTGTTATCTTGCCGTACATCATCTTAAAACTCCATACCTATTCCAGAAGCATCTCTTCTGAGCAGCCTGTATTTGAAAAACTTCTTGAAGCTACCTTCTCAGAAAGCCTGAGGCCAATGAGGAAATCAGTCTGATTACTTAACAGTCATGTCTTGTTTTTGACTACTAACAACACTTTCTGATTTTACTGCCAGAATTATTTGCCACAGTTGACTGACCTCTGGACATTTCTAAAAATCATTCCTTTCTCATTTAGGATATTCTAAAAAACATGGAGTAGAGAGGAGTTTGTAACACTTTGGGAAGGTGCTCATTTGAGTGTAACCACTGAGGGATGTCTGTCCAAAACTAGTCACTATTTCATGGTCTGACCATCTGGCTTTGTCATGAAGCTGGGGAGCTCCTGAGACATATGCCACAGTCTCCCAAGGTGAGATGCTCTTCCAGGGTCAGTGTGAACCAGGGACTCTAAGCACAGCTCGATGGGGACAAGGCCTGGTCCCCACTCCCCCATGTCCCAGGGCCCTTCCCTTTATCTTTATCCTCACACCTCTCCAGAGTCATTCTTGCCTAATCCCCACTGCTTCAGAGGCAAATAAAAAGACCACTTACACAGCCCACACAGTCTGTCTTCCTTCCACCTCTGAGGATTCAGGGATTCCCCAACAACTTGCTGAGTGTCTTCTCCATGTTAAATAAACCATGATCCTGATGATCCTTCTTGGTCAGTGAGTGACTTAACCCAGGACTCAGCGCTTTTCCAAAGTGGTTGCCAAGGCTCTGACCCTTTTCTCAAGGGCTGGGGCAAGACTCATTGGAGGGGCTGAGGAAGGCTTCTGGAATGTGGGCAGCATGGCCCCAGTCCCTGCTGGTGGCCCAGCCTGGTGCTCTGGCCTGAGCTATTGCCTCACTCCCAGCAGTCTCCCACTGTGTCCAGCCTCTGGATCAACCCCTCCAGTGATTCCATCTCCACCCAGAACACTGCCTAGTCTCTGCTGGCCCTAGCCAAAGGTCCTAGCCAGGACCCTCCAAGAATTTCCTGGGTCAGGGTCTGAGGCCTGGCCCACCAAGCCCAGAGAGAGGCTCCGTTCTCCTTTCTAAACTGCCCCAGCTTCTAGCCTTGGAGAATTAGAAACATCTACCCGCCCTTGACTCTCGTGCCTTGACTCCTTTCTTCCTGAACCCCACCCCAAGCTGTATAAAAGCCCCTTAGAAAGGCTCACAGGACTTTGAGGCTTGGCCCCGCCAACCCCCTCTGCAGGCTCACACCATGCACACCTTCGGCCCAGTCCGCAGCAGGTGGCTTTAGCCTCTGTCTCTCATGCCAGACAGACTTCCTCTAGGCAATTCTGCTCCCCTCCTCTAGGCTAACTCCTTTGAATCCTTAAGACTCATCCCAGGCATAATCTCCCAGAAGCCTGTGTCCCCTCCTCCTCCTCCCTGCAGGCAGGTTAGCTGTCCCGTTTCATAGCTCCCAGCATGAACCATCACCCGTCTCTGTCACAACACTGACTCTCCTGTATAACTATTTATGTGTCTGTCTCCTCTAGTGGCTGTGAGCAGCTCAAAGACAGGCACTGTCTTGTCCATCTTTAAATGTCCAGATGGTCCAGAGCCCAGCAACGTGGCAGGTATTCAATAAACACTGGTAGCCTGTCACAGGTCGGCATTACACGGTATGCACGGTTCTATTTCTGAGTTTGCTCACCGTGTTATCTGGGATATGAGACTGCTTTGGACAGTTTCCCAAAGCCTGGGGCAGAATTTCTCCAGACTTAACAAGCAGAGAACCCTCTGCAGGTATGTCTGAGGAGGAGACGGTGCAGCTCCATCCAGCAGCAGGTCTATTTTGAAAGACCAGGTGTCACCTGTTCCCCTCCACACCCTGGACCAGATCCTGAGGCGCTGGGTTCCTTCCAGGCCAGTTGGGGGTGGCTCTGCGGCCTGCTCTGATTCACTTCCCATAGGCTTTGACAGAAGAAAGAGCAGACTGGCAGTGGGCAGGGATGAAGGGTTAGACTGCCCAGCCCACCCTTGTGGACAATCTGGAGCTTCAGAAACCCCTGGGCCTTCTATTATGAGCCTGTGGGGCGGAGGGACATCATCTGTCTACTCCCCTCTAAGCAGAGGGAACACCCAGGGTATAGCGGAAAACGCTGGGAGGAGCATGGAGGATTCTAAAAGATTCTCTTCATCACTGCCCTCCAACAGTAAGGCAGCCCTCATTGGCCGGCAGATTTGAGGACTTAGGCAGAGCAGAAAGTCTGAGCTCACAAGGCTCTGGTATTTAAAGAGCTGGTAACTGGTTAAGCAGGCAACTGAGGTGAGAGGCCAGAGGCCTGTAGTTCCACCGCTCAGCTGCCCCAGCAACTTGTAAACAGGAACTTGGGTTCTCAACCAGGTTTCCATCAATGGGCATCCACCAATGTCATGATGTTATATAAAAAATATTACAAGCACGTGCACGTGTTTTCTGGGGAAGAGGTCCACACCTTTCATATTTTCAAGGAGGACTCCTGACCAGTTTCAAGAACTGCTTCCCTGGACTGTATGCTCCTTGAAGGAGGGAATGTGCATTGTTCCTCAATGAATCCTCAATGCTGGGGACTTCCCTGGTGGTCCAGTGGTTAAGAATCCACCTTCCAACGCAGGGGATGCGGGTTCGATCCCTGGTCGGGGAACTAAGATCCCACATGCCACTGGGCAACTAAGCCCACGCGCCACAACTACTGAGCTCACGCACCTCAACTAGAGAGCCTGCATGCCACAAACTACACAGCCCACATGCTCTGGAGCCCATGCGCCACAATTAGAGAGAAGCCCACGCGCCTCAATGAAAGATCCCGCATGCTTCAACTAAGACCTGACGCAGGCATAAATAAATATTAAAAAAAAAAAAATCCTCAGTGCTGAGTACTGGACTTGTTCCCAAAGTAGGTGTTTTATAAATGCATGCCAAGTAAAGTCAGGATGGGGATGGGGGATAAAGGAGGGGGCTCAGAGAGGGACTGGATGGCAAGACTCCCAGACTAGCAAAGAACAAGACATGGGCAACCCCAGGGCTTAGCCCGTCCTCTCCTCCCTGGAGTGGAGTCCCATTGCCCAAGTCCTTGAGTGGCTCGGGCATTTGCCAGCAGGCAGGGTAATGGCTCCTACAAGAAGCATGTGTATAAAGGCCTGGGAGTCCCCTCCTCATCTCAGAAGATTCAAACAGATTTATCCTGGAAAAAGAAGGGAAAGAAGGAGCTGGCAGCACTGGTGGCTCCAGAGCACTGAGGGAGAGGGCTCAAAAAGGAGGCACAGCGTTTGTTGAAAGCACCAGGAAAAGACCAGCCACCAGAGAATGAAACATCTGCATTCCCAAAATACGGATCAGGAACTTCCCAGGGGAACCTGGGTATCAATCAGCAACAGAGCAGCTCCTCCAGCAGGCGTTCTGAGACCCGCCAGACCAGCACACTCCCGTGACCTGAGAGCAGGCCAACCAAGGAGATGGGGGGTGGGGGGCTGGGGCACATTGGTTAAAATGTGAAATTGTCAGGAATAGTGCAAGCCAGCTGACATCATCGTTGGTGGCTAGAAATCTGCTATTTGTAGTTAGAAATTGCACATGTTACAAATAATAGCCTTTTCTTTTTTTTCTTTCTGGAGGGCAGACTATTAAACCTTTACCAGCACGCCACTGGAAAGAACCCATGTGGACCAGTCAGGTTTGACCGTGGAGCATGACAGCTACTGCCAGCAAGGGAGAACAGAGGCTACAGAGGAGTTGGGGACATAATACACCCTCCCTTCCAACGTGGGCTCTTTCTCTGGTTTCCAAGGCCAGGAAACTGGCCTCCCAGGAAGTCACCATAGCCTCATCAAACAACTCTTGCTCTGGCAGTGCCAATCCAAACTCTTCTCAGCAGTCAGAGAGGCACACACATGGGGGACACCCCACCAGAGGGGCCCTGAGCCAGCACTCGAGCCCGGCCATTGCTTACAGCCAGCCCCACGACCCCCATGGACAAGACCCCCCCTCCCCTGGAGCTCCTTTCCCTTTGGGCTCTGGATGTGTGGGCTCCCCACACAGTCCCCACCCTGTCAAACCTCCCATAAATCCCCTGCTATTTCCAGCTCCCAAGTACCGCCAGCTCCCAGCTCCCAGCTCCCCGGAGTGGGGCTGCAATTAAGCTGGATCCACCTGGCCTCCACCAAGAGCCCTTCTTGATCCACAGCCCAGAGAGGCCAAGCACAGAGAGCCAGGAACACACCTACACACCTACCTGGCTGGGCCCCCTCAGGCTCATCGCACCCTGGAGAGACAGAAACATATTGCAGCTCTGCTTGCAGGGGTCACCTGGTGGGGATGGGGGCAGTCTTCCCTGCTCTGCCTTGTGACTTGGCCACATAGCCAGGAGGATGTCAGCAGAGAGACTCCTTCACATCAGACATCCCCATGCCCCAGTCAGGTCCATCTCTAGGAGTGAGGAAAGTTCTGAGCCTTCAGGTGACTCTCCTGTACTCAGGGCAGGACCAGGCCAAAAAAGAACTCTCAGCCTTGCTTCTGTAGGGGTGACAGAGACCATAGCCAAGTCCTCCAATCCAGACCAGGGCAGGCGTCAGGAACACAGATGTCAAGGAAACACCTTGACATTAGGAACAACCGTCTCAACTGCCCCATCCCTCCCTGAGCCCAGCATTCAGGAGAGACGGAGCTCCCTGCTGCTTCCCTATGGCCGAATGCCTCCAGGGCCCCCTCAGCCAGCACCACTCAGGGTTCCAGGGGCCACAAGCTACCTGGCTCCCCTTGCCCACCCCAATGCCTCAGGGCAGGGCCGTGCTGCCATCCTTGCTTACAGCTGAAGAAGAGACAAAGGATCCTACAATTCCAATTTCTTCGTCTAGCACTAGGACCCTATAGGCAGAAACCAGGTCATCAACATCTCTGCTACCTCGGTTGCTCCTGGAGCCTTCTGGGTCCTGCATTACGAACAGGAGGGCAGGAGCTCACTGAGGCCAAGACCCAAGGGGGGCTCCGCGCTCATTCGTAGCAGGGTAGCACATCTGCAGGGAACCTGATGCTCCAGGAGTCATGTGCCTCCTAACTTCTGGAAGGAGGCTCTGCCATTCTAGACTTCCTTGGAGGTACGGTTTCCCCGGAGGGACTGCCACCTCCCTGCTCCCCAATAACTGATGGGGAAGAAAAGCTGACCTGAGGGCAAAGGGAAGGGAGTTGAATGAACACTTATTGAGGGCCAACTACGTTCTGGCTGTGGGCTAGGTCCTGATATACGTTCACCATTGTCATCCTCTCAGCAACCCTGTGAGAAAGGAATGAGCTCAGACTGCAGAGCTGGAAATCAAACCCAGGGCTTTCACAGTGCCTCCCACACGCCATCTGCCAGTGGAGATGCTGAGGTCACAGGTCAGGATGTGGTTGCAGGTGAACAGGCCAAGTGGCCATCACAATCAAGTCTGTATTTTTAATGAATGACACATGGAGCCTCAATAGCCCCAGGGTCAGGGGTCAGAGCAGCCCCTCCCCTGCAGCCCCTTCCCCTAAGGCAGGAGGGCCTGGCTTCCTTAAGCCAGGGATGCAGACTGTGACGGAAAAGGTACAAGGCTGGGTGTGCTCACCTGCCACCTCCACAATCTGGTGCCGGGCAATGTCGTAGTAAGGGTCATCCCACTTCAGGTGTGTGACAGGTTCCGGGGAGCTGCTTTTGGAGTCATCTGAGGAACACAGCAAAGTCAGGGGATCATCTGGGGGTCTGGCACAATGTTCTCCCTGAGATTCGTGCTCTTTGGCCCTCCCCCCAGTAAGGCTTGTGCTCCCAGCCCCACCCTGGGGCTGGTCTGTTTGCCCACATCCTGTCCTCCTGGGGTCTTCCTTCCACAGGAAGGGGGTCTTTCCTTCTCAGGCGCTTATGGCTGCTGAGATCCAGCCATACCCACCTGACTTGGGAAAGTCGGGCATTTCGTCTGAGGGCCAGTTCTTCTCATCAATGGAGGCTAGCTTCAGCTGGTTCAGAGCCTGGCTGGCGTCATCCAAAGTCAGGTCGTCCTGCAGCTCTGAGAGTGGGTCCATGGCCGAGCCTCTGCCCCACAGCTTCACGCTGCAGAACCTGAAGAGAACCCTGGGGGACAGGAGGGAGTTGGCAGGTCAGTGACACACTCTTTTCACCCATAACTTCTACAGCAAGCCCTCCTGCTCCCACTCTTTCCTCCTCCAAGCTCCCTTGTCCCTGTTCCTCAACACTCCTCATCCCTGCCAAGAGCTCCATGTAGCTCCTCCTGGCTTTCCTGGCGCCACACTTTTCTGGCATGTTGCCAGAAAAGGCAGCTGGGGCACAGGATGGCACAACTCAGTGCCTGCCTTCAGGCCCTCCAGCTGCATAAGGAAGAGTGGTGCCAGGCCCTGCACTGCCCACCACCCAGCTGGTTCCGTCGAGCAGTCCCAACTGCAGAGGTTCAAGGGCCATGCCCCTCTCCTCCAGGGTCATAGAGCACAGAAGCTTCCCAGGCCCCAGCAGTGATGGGGAAGAGATATTGCAAGAATCTAAGGAGCACAGGGCTGCTCCAAACCCCTGCCTGAAAAAGGTCAGCTGTGGCCCTGGCTACTCCATCCGTCACTCCTGGCCCAGGGAAGAGGAGGTAGCCAGAGACCATAAGACCTAAAAAAAAAAGGCCATGGCCAAGGGGCCCAGCTGGGTTTGCCCCAGGACAGGAATGAGGAGCAGGAAATGGAATCTTCCTGCCAGTCACTGTGACAATCTGCAGGCTCCTGGAAGCTCCCAAGCCCAATCTACTCTGGGGGGAGCTCCTGACACTAGTTTCAAGGTGGGAAAGATCAACAGACCACCTTAAGGACTGGGGGGTACAGGTGGGCAAGGAGGAAGCCCATGACACCCAGAGTCCAGAGATCCAGGAGGTGGAAAACAGAACAACAGCTGTTGCATGCGGGGAGGGAGAGGAGCCAACTCTGCAACTGGGTTTGCCCAGGTCTGGGGTGTGGCCTCATGGATGTGGCTGAGTGCAGCCTGGAGGAGGCACCTTCTGCCCTCAGCCCTAACCGGAAGCCAATCCCTCTCCCTTCACAAGCTCACCATGTGTGTGAGGGTGGGAGTTTCAATTCAACCCACTCGTCCAACCCCAAAGAGGCTGCTCTAAGTCCAGTGCATTCCTGCGGCCTCAAAAAATGACATATATGGTCACAGAATCAGCAGGGCAGATAAGGAGCACAGACAAGACCCAGGCGTGGGTAGGGAGAAGAGAGGAGAACTGTGGGCCCAGCTCCAGATCCTGAACACCTCTGAGCGATGTGACAACCGCCTGCGCACATCACAGCAAAGACTCCATCCGGATGGCAAACCGGCAGCTCCCTACTTACTTACTTAGCAACAACCTAGCAACAACTACCCTGTTACCAGGGCAACCACACTGATTCAGCAGCAAAAGCTGTTTGAAGCTCCTGAGCCAAAACTGAGCCGCCAAACAGCCAGAAAAAAAACCAAAAAACCCCACTTATTTCTCTTCCTCTTCCTCTCCTCTGGCCTTATCTGCTACCCTTATTCACTGCTCACTACCAAAATACAAGTCCCTTACCACAAACAGAGAGAAAGACGTTCTCTATTGTTTGGGAATGCATATCTCCCAGCGAGTGCTGCTGTACCCCTCACCCCAGCTCCCCATTCCAAGCAGCCCTCAGTCTTGAGAAATCCACACCTGATTCAGCTATAAGCTCCTCCCCATATTCAACCAGGAAGCTGTGAGGGCTCCCCCAAAGGGGCCCCTGGCCAGGTAACAGGGACAGAATTTAGCTCACAGTAACCCTCCCCAGGCCTGAGCCTTCTCTCCATCCCTTCTTTTTGGTTACTGCCCAGGCACCAAGAGCTCCTTCAGCCCTGCCCACAGCAGTTCCAGAGAAGTCTTTCTGCACAGAGTGGGTGCTTGATGCAGTGAAAAAAACATGGGATGAGATACATGGAGAACTGGATTACAGTCCTGACTGAGTCGCAAAGATGCTGAGCAAGTCCTTTTCCTATCTAGGCCTAAATTTCCTCACCTACAGAAGTGAAGGCTCCTCCCAGAAATATAATTCTCCAGCATTCTAAATTACTTGTGCTGAAGTGAACAACGGGATTAGAAGGAACAGCTGGGAGTTGAAGTATGTGTGAGGGAGGGAGAGGGACACTCTCTAAAAGGGAGATGAGCTTGAACTCCACCTCTTCCAGTAACTCTTCTATTTTGTCAGTTCTTCCAGAACTGACCCCTCCCCCACCCCATAAACTCCTTTTCCATCCCAACTAATCACAGTTGTTTCCACCTCCCAGCCAGCCTAACCTCCCTCACTACCCTCCAACCCACAGCTGTTGTCCTCTGTGAGCCCAGAAGCTCAGCTCCCACTCAGTGGGAGGGGGAGGGAAGCTAGTACAGGGCAATTGTAACATAAAGTAGTAGAAATGAAGCATCCTACCTGCCTAAGACTCCTGTCACTTACAAGTCCTGCTCCACTCTGCAAAATAATCCTTATTGTCAGATTAGTTTTTCCCTTCTCAGTTGGTAAAATCTCTACCTTTACAATAATCTTCAAGAATCACTTTAGGCAGGCATGTTAACCTTTGGGAAGTCCTAGAGCTCTCTGAAATTCTGGAGAAATTTATGGACTTTTTCCCTAAGAAAAATCAGCACATGCATGAAATCTTGCATGAAATTTTAAGGGGTTCACAGGCCCTCTTTCCCATTTAAGAAACCCTGCCTCCTCAAAATTACATCTGGCACAGAGCTGATGCTCAGTCATTTGCTGAATGACTGAACAAATCAATTTGTATCCTAAGAGGAAAAGGGAACCAACCACGTTGAACTGGATACAAATTATCTTTTCACAACAGCACCAGTGAGGTATGTATTACTAAACCCATTTTACAGTTTGAGAAACCGAGGACCAGAAAAAGTAAGCAAGTTGCTTAGGATCATACAGCAAGGTCAAGATTTTAATCCACGTCTACCTTAAGGTGGTCGCTTTGTGCAGGTCAATCCCTCAATACTTCTCTAATGGACTGTCATTCAAGAGATTCTCAAAGTTCTGCAAAAGGTCAAAGTAAAGCTTCTCTTTTAATCTCCTCCATGGACAACTGAAATAACAACTTAAAATCGTATTCTCTGGCTTGGGGATCGCCCTCCTAGTTGGGGCTCCAGAATTGTGAAAATGCAAATCCCACAATACAACAGCAAAACTTTTAACTACAATCACATTTGCATAGAGCTTCATGGTTTACAAAACCCGGATTGGGTGTAATTATCCCATTTCACAGATTAAGAAATAGATATGAAAGTGTGGCCTAATAAATGGCAAAGGTGGAATACTTCCCCCAAATATCTTGGTCTTAGTTCTTCCCCAGATCGGACCAGGGAGACTTCCCCTTCCCACGAGCTTGCTCAATGACAGCGAGCGAGGAGGCCAGGAAGAAGGCAGCAAGGAAGCAAAGTCCTCTCACTTCAGACCCTCGAGGCGGGCCGAATCCCCGCAGCAGGAAGGCCAGGTTCCCAGGGCCCATTCCACCCTTGCTCCCTTCCTCGGTTCCGGTCGGATCCTCCCCATCCGGATCCCATCCCTTCAGAAGACCAGGCCAGTCCCTTTCCCTCCCCCACCACCTCCCAGGGAGACCCCGCGCCCCGCAGCTCACCGTGGTGGGGCACCGCTCCCTCTGCCACGCCTGTCAAGGACAGGCAAACATCCGGCTACGCGGTCGAATGGGAACCACCCCCTCCCTGTCGCTTCACTCCCCAGCCACTTCCGCCACACCTCCGACCTACTTCCGACCCATTGCCCGGTCCAAACATGGCCTTCGCAGGAGCCCCGCCCACTTCCTTACGAGCCCGCTTACGTGCCCGCCTGGAGGAGAGACAGTATAACCGTCCGACTCGTCCCTCCCAAAAGGAAGCCCTTGAAACAATTAGTTCCTCTCTACCGGATACTCAAATCCCTAGTGGACCTCCGGAATTCTAAACTCGTATTGTTCTCGGACAGAGATTTGCTTCACCACTACTGCCAAACTCCCAGTCCTGCGCACCAATGAGGTCTGACTCTTAAGATTCTTTCCCGAAAGGGAATTTGGTAGTCAATGACTGTTTCCGGGGGGAGCTGAGAAGGTGAGTCTCACTTCCGGCGGAGGGAGGCTTTCTGACCCGGGATGGAGGAGGCGGAGGAGCTGCCCTTGGAGTGGGAGAGACTGCAGTTCGGTGAGTGACCTGCGATGTCTCCGACCCTCGGCCCTGGCCTAGATACTCCTGACGTTCTCTGGTCAACTCTTTCCCCCCACGACCCTTTTCCTCCCGAGCCTGGCATCCTCCTCCGGTGCCCTCAGAACCTCTGGGAGCTTCTTAAGAGCCCTCGAACCGCCTCAAACTTTTCCGGGGCCCCCTTGGAGCCCTTACATATCCCTCAGACTCCTGAGGCCTAGCTGGACCTCGGGTTTTCTCCCTCACCTTTCCTCGCCCCACGACCTCTTGGGCCGCTTCCTCACTGTCTTTCTCTGTCCCTGCAGCCCCCGATCCACGCCTGGGCCCGGACTCAGGATGGAGCCCTTCCAGAGAAGGCTGTGCACAGGGACTCAAAGACCTCTCGCCCGGACCCACCCGAGCCATCCTCGCTCTAAAGAGCCTCCCGCGGGGCTTGGCCCTTGGCCCCTCATTCATCAAGGAGCAGCGCTTGGGGGTCTGGTGTGTTGGGGAACCCTTGCAGCCAGGCCTGCTCTGGGGGCCACTGGAAGAGGAGTCTGTCTCCGAGCAGAAGGGCCATGGAGTGAAAACACAGCAGAAGGAGGTATTGAGGGATAGGGCTTTACGTCTCCGTGACTGAAAATTTTGATCAGACGTTTCTCGGTAACTCTCCAGTTTGTTGGAAGATGCAGGGTGTTTCAAGAGATAGGAGATGGTTTATGCTCTCTCTCTCAGGGACTGTCTCATCCCCTCACTTGCGGTAGCCGAGGAGGTGCAAAAAGTTATTAAAAGGTGGATTAGTAGATGGGACTTCCCTAGGTCCAGTGGTTAAGACTCCAGCGCTTCCACCGCGGGGGGCACGGGTTCGATCCCTGGTCGGGGAACTAAGATCCCACAGGCCGCACAGCGCAGCCAAAATGTAAAAAAAAAAAAAAGTTGGATTAGTAGAGTGTCAGCAATGACGACGAAAGTCAAGAGCAAAGGTTTTTGGAATTAAAAAGCCATGGGGGGGCTTCTCTGGTGGCACAGTGGTTAAAGAATCCACCTACCAATGCAGGGGACACGGGTTTGATCCCTGGCCTGGGAAGATCACACTTGCCGTGGAGCAACTAAGCCCATGTGCCACAACTACTGAGCCTGTGCTCTGGAGCTGGCGAGCCACAACTACTGAGCCCACACGCCTAGAGCCCGTGCTCCACAGCAAGAGAAGACGCCACAATGAGAAGCCCACGCACCGCAACGAAGAGTAGCCCCTGCTCGCAGCAACTAAAGTCAGTGTGCAGCAAGGAAGACCCAATGCAGCCAAACATAAATAAATTTATTAAAAAAAAAAAAAAAGCCATGGGATCAAATCCTAGCTTTGTCACATAGCTAGTTAGATGGCATGCCTTGTTTAACTCATATGTAAAATAAAGGAATGGCCGTTTCCTTTATTTTAATTCTCCAGGATTATTTGGAGCAAAAGTTGAAAAAGCACAGGTAAAGGATTTCATTTCATAAGTCCTGAAAAACAGATTTAAGGTTGATGTACCTCTTACTACTTCTTCTGTTTGGTATTCACTGAAAGGCAATAATATGTGCAATTCAGTCATTCACCACACCTTGGGAGGGAGGTGAGGGGACAGTTTTTTTGGCCTTTATTGAATGAAAACTCGAACGGCATAGTCCTATAGAGGCAGACCAGAGACCATTAACCTTCTAGGGGCTTCATCTTAGACCTGTCTCAGGAGAGGTTACATCAGGGGTTTTTTTGTTGTTTGTTTCACCCTGGTCCCCTCAAACACATGGGAGAAAGACTTTTATTGGTTTATTTCAGGACGTGTCACTAGGCCCATGGGGAGATGTGTGTGCTTGTGAGCAGAGTTCAGGCTGGACTAGGTAAGTTACAGGAGAGTATGTAGTGAAGATGTTCCTTTGAGGCTTTCTGTTGTGGCATGGGATGGAACCGGAAGCTGGCTTCTGGTTCCCACCCAGGGATCTTTGCAGTGAGTGTTCCAAAGGCATGGGATCCTTTAGGACTCAGACTGCCCAGGAGCTGGGGCTTTCAGGGAGGGCCACTTGAACGGGATCTCCTGAGCTAACTCTTGCTCTGCTTTGCAGTTTGGTGCAGCGGGGAAGGCTGGAGGGTGAGGGAAACGTGGCCCCAGTGCGGATCAGCGAGAGGCTCCACCTGCAGGTGTACCGGGTCGTGCTGCCAGGTTTTGAGCTGCTGATGTGGCCCCAGTCTCCCTCGGAGGGCCTGAGCCCCACCCAGCCCAGGCTAGAGGAAGAGGCATCCTTGGCTGTGGTGACAGAAGTGGAGTCTGCTGTACAACAGGAAGTGGCCTCCCCCAGGGAGGATGCAGCAGAACCTTGCACAGGTATGTGTCAAATAAATGCTGGCTTCCCCAATTATCACCAAAAAAACCTGTTGATAAGACAAAGCAAAGCTTATGGCGTAAGACAGTAGGGGAGAACAGTAGCATTTCTGAGAGGGAAGGGCAAAGCCTGGATATTTATCGAAATTTTGAAGTCTGGTATAAGGTGGATTTTTCAGTGTGGGATGGGGTCGGGGCTCGATCAGTATTGGGTAAGGATCATGACATAGTAGTTTAGGATTTGTGGAGACAGCAAGGCTAGAATTTTCAGGTAAGAGGTTCAGAGAGTTTGGGGATGTAAACTGTCATTTGATGCTTTTTATTAAAGAGTGACAGGTCTTTTCCTTGGAATGAACAATATAGTTGACTCTTGAACAGCACGGGGGTTAGGGGCACTGACCCTCTGGGCAGTTGAAAATCTGAGTATAACTTATGGTTGACCCTCCATATCCAAGGTTTCACATCTGTGGTTTTGCATCTGTGGATTCAACCATGTAGTGCTGTGGTATTTACTGTTGAAAAAAAATGCTCGTATAAGTGGATCCGTGCAGTTCAAACCTGTGTTTTTTAAGGGTCAACTGTATAGATATTTGCAAGTTTTATCTTCCTGAGTTAAGTTTTCTGGAATAGTAAGGTCACACTGACAAAGACAGCAAGTTGTGTATAAGGTTTCCAGTTTTCTTATGTTTTTTCTGTCTGGACTGGGGATGGGGATTCCTTTATTTTCACGTGACCTAAAGTGAGGAGATGGTGGTCTCAACTCATCCTAAGTGCATGTCTCCAGAGGGAGAACAAGGGCACTCTGGGATGGCCTTTCTCTAGAAATTATCCAGATGTCTAGACACTATGGTTCTCAGGAGAGCCTCCCCAGAAGGCACCTGAGACTGGACAGAAAGATAAACAGAGTGTGTGACTCATGTTCCAGGGAAGAGATTGGTGTCATTGCTCCCATTGCAGTTCAGGGGCTGAGGAGGAGAAGACACATATTCCTATAATTTCCTGGTGAGACCACCATGACCCCCTGCTACAGTCTCTACTAAGCCCAGCACCCCACTCTTGCCTTGCAGATCCTGGTCACCAGTCACAGCCCCGCATCCAGGCGGTGAGCCCTGGACTTAAGCCCCAAATCCAGGACCAAGTTTCCAAGGAGAGCCAGCCACTCGGCCCATTGCCTCAGGATGGCCATGTAGATGAGGAGGACCCACCCCAGACCCAGATGCCACCTGAACCTCAGAGCAGCTCCACTCCCCAGCAGGGCCCTGAGAGCAGTGAGGCCAGTTCCTCATCTTCTGCCAGGGGCCCCCAGCTGCGTGCTTACCTAGTCAGGAAGTTGCGTAGCCCCAGTGATCAACGTCCACCCAGAGCGAAGACCTCAGAGCCCGGGGCCCAGCAGAGTGGAGAGCAGCAGCACCCTGGTTTACCCGCATGCTTGCGGAGCGCCCCTGGCCCGGTGGGAGGCTCCCCGAAGCGGGGGCGACGGTACCGCTGTGCCGAGTGTGGCAAGGCCTTCCTGCAGCTGTGCCACTTGAAGAAGCATGCATTCGTGCACACGGGCCACAAGCCCTTCCTTTGCACCGAGTGTGGCAAGAGCTACAGCTCAGAGGAGAGCTTCAAAGCCCACATGCTGGGCCACCGTGGGGTGCGGCCATTCCCCTGCCCTCAGTGCACCAAGGCCTACGGCACCCGGCGAGACCTCAGAGAGCACCAGGTTGTACACTCAGGTGCCCGGCCCTTTGCTTGCGACCAGTGTGGCAAGGCCTTCGCCCGCCGGCCCTCCCTGCGGCTGCATCGCAAGACACACCAGGTGCCAGCGACCCCTGCCCCGTGCCCGTGCCCTGTGTGCGGGCGGCTCCTGGCCAACCAGGGCTCCCTGCGGAACCACATGCGGCTCCACACGGGGGAGAAGCCCTTCCTGTGCCCACACTGCGGCCGGGCGTTCCGCCAGCGGGGCAGCCTGCGCGGGCACCTGCGGCTGCACACAGGGGAGCGCCCTTACCGCTGCCCACACTGCGCTGACGCCTTCCCCCAGCTGCCTGAACTGCGGCGCCACCTCATCTCCCACACCGGGGAGGCCCACCTGTGCCCCGTGTGTGGGAAGGCCCTCCGGGATCCCCACACGCTGCGCGCGCACGAGCGCTTGCACTCAGGCGAGAGGCCCTTCCCGTGCCCCCAGTGCGGCCGTGCTTACACGCTGGCGACCAAGCTGAGGCGCCACCTCAAATCCCACCTGGCCGACAAGCCCTACCGCTGCCCCACCTGTGGCATGGGCTACACTCTCCTCCAAAGCCTCAAGCGGCACCAGCTCAGTCATCAGCCCGGGGCACCCTCCAGCCCACCCTGTGTGCCGCCTGCCGCTTCTGAGCCCACCGTGGTGCTCCTGCAGACCGAGCCAGAACTACTGGACACATGCAGTGAACGGGGCGGGTCCCCAGCCCCGGACGTCTTCGAGGTCACCCTTTCCGAGAGCCAGGATAAGTGCTTTGTGGTGCCCGAGGAGCCAGGTCCTGCTCCCAGCCTGGTGCTCATCCATAAGGACATGGGCTTTAGCACCTGGGCAGAAGTGGTAGAGGTAGAGACGGGCACCTGACCACCCTCACCTTCCCTCAGCAGAGCTCTGTATAAAGACTGGTGTTTCTGAGCTTGGGTGTCTGGATCTTTCTCTTTGGGTTCCCTGATAGAGACTAGTGTATGAGAAGCAGGTCGAGGACTCCCCTTCCTGCTTATGGACGACCACTTTGTTTCCCAAGACTCTTAATAAGGTAAACCACTTCTAGATGTGAGATCTTCTTATCAGCTTCCAGGAGAGCTTGTCCTGCCACCCTCCCTGGGAACTCCTGAAGGTGCTTGTTCTTTAAACGTTGTGGAAGTGACCCTGCCCAGTGAGGACTGGGAACTCCTCAAGGTGCTTGTTCTTTAAACGTTGTGGAAGTGACCCTGCCCAGTGAGGTAGCCAGGTCGCAGGCAGCACTAGTGCCCTGCTGGGGTGCTTATTGCTGGAATAGTCACTCCCATCCAGCTCCCTGAAGGACAAGCATTTCTATTTGGAACCAAACGGAATGACTTGTGAAGGTTAAAGGCCAGAGACACTCAGCTGACAAGTCTCTGAGTCAGGCATTAGATTGTTTTGGCAGCTTTTCTCACCACTGAAGGCCTGTGAGGTTGGTTTTTGTTCTGTGCTGAAGGACACCAGACTCATTGGAGGTGGTTAGGGCGGGTCTGCACCCTTCTTTGTATCTGGCCGAAGGCAGCCCTGTTGAGGGAAAGAGCGAGGAATGAACATGTGTTTCATGTTTCATCAGCTTTGGGCCTGGCCTGCCCGAGGTGCTGGGGACGCAGCTGTGGACAAGACAGAGGCAGCGCCCTTTACAGGGCTCAGGTCTACCAGGGGCAAAGAACAACAGTAAGAGTTTAAAGAGGAGCACTCCCCGGTGCTGTGGGTGTGTTTAGTGGGATGGGTTCACTTGTGGGCATCAGGGAAGGTGTCCCCAAGAAATTATAATGGTAATAAACAGCATTTGTTGTGGGCCAGTCCTTTATGTGAGTTTATTTCTGTAATCCTATAGCAATCCTGTGAGATAGTTATGAGGACAGTCAGGAGCAAAGAGCTGTAAGTGTCCTGCCCAAGGTGACAGAGCTACTAGGTGGCAGAGCTGAGATTCAAATCCACGTAGTTTAGCACTGGAGTAAGGCTCTTAACCTCCACACTCTAGTGTCCCGCATTTCAGCTGTGACTTGTTGGATGAGGAGGTGTGGGGGAAGGTGGGGATGTGAGGGGCTGCATGTGAAAAAGCCCCATGGTGAGACCCTGGGTGTGAGCCCTGAGACCAGCATGGCTGGAGCAGAGAATGAGGGGAGGGGGGCAGGGTCAGGTCACACAGGCCTTGCTTCAAGAGTTTGGACTTTATTCTCAGGACATTGAGGGGCTCTTTGAAGGGTTTTGAGCAGGGGAATGATACGATCAGATTCATGATTGAAGAGACCACTGGAGAGGATTAGTGGGCAAGGTGCAGTTGTGGGGAAATCAATTAGGTGGCTGGGAATGGGTGGTAGTGGAAATGCTGTCCTTCACCCAACAAATACTGAGCACTTCCCGCGTGCTGGTTGTTAGGGGTATAGCAGTAATAACAGTCTCTGCTCTCATGTAGTTACGTTCTGGTGTGGCAAGAGCCAATAAACAAATACATGTCAGATGATGGTAAATGCAGTGAAGAAAAGTAATGCAGTGGAGAGGTTGAATGGGGAGTGTGATTTTACAGAGGGCGGTCAGGGAAGGCCTTCAGTAACGTGACAGAGACCTGAACTACGGAGAGGAGTGAGCCAGGCTGATGTCTGCAGAAGGAGCTGGATTCCAGTCAGAGGAAACAGTACCAGCAGAGCCCAGTGAGTTCAAGCAAGAGCAAGGAGCAGAGCGGCCAGGGCGGAGCGTGGAAGGAGGTGAGGGCAGGGGCTGTAGGCTGTGGGGAGGGCTTTGGGTGGACAAGTTCTCTGAGAGGTAGAAGTGACCAAAGTCAAAGACTGAGGGAGAGAGGAAGATCTGACTCCTGCTTTCTGACTTAGCAAGTTAGGTAGCCGTGGTGGGGGGGGCGGTGCGGGACAGCTATGATTTTGGCTGGGGATGGTTTGAGTCGAGGTGCCTGTGGGAAAGATCTCAAGAAGGCAGTGGGAAATGGGCACAACCTGCGGGGAGAGGGGAGGCTCTTCAGGAGAGACTAAGTCAGCATCCGATGAAACAGGAGAACCTGCAACGTGTAAGTCGCAGAAGCTGATGGAAGAGCATCTCAACAAGGAAGAAGAGGGTAACGATGTCCTTTGCTGTTGAGAAGGTTGAAATTTGCCAGTCGCTGGTGAGCCGAGTGAGGGCAGTTGGGAGCCAGACTGCATTGCTTTGAGGAGGGGGAGGCAAGAGAGACAGGGGAACTTACATTCTTATTCCATCCTCCTTCTGTCCTGCAAATTGTGTTGTGCCGCGTGTTTCACAGATGGGGAAACAGGTTCAGAGCGGATTGGTAACTGCCGAGACCGCACATTCAGTAAACAGCAGAGCCAGGACCATGACATGACGTGTCCTCTGGCTTCCCAGCACTCAACCTCCGTGTCATAAGCAGCCCCATGTCTCCTGCTTTGCACTGACTTTAACCCATCCACCCACCCGGTGTGAATAACTTCTTGGCAAAGCGTCTTTCTGAAACTGTCCAAGGAGAGGGAGGACAGCAAGAGATGGTGACGACGATCTGTGGAGAGAAAGGCCACACCATCCAAAGGCTGAAAAACCGCTGCTAATACTAGTTTTGAGTCAGCCAACCCCCCGGCTCAGTCTGGTAGGTCCTACTCTTTTCCAGCTCCAGCTTCAGGCGGGTCATTCCAACTCAGGTAACCTCTCAGCTGTGTCTGCCCAGCGTTGTTAGCTAACTTGGGGACATACCCATTGCTTGATACTGAACAATGCAGGGAAGTGGGGATGCTTTGGGTTGCTGGGGAGGCCTGCCGACACCCCACAACTGTCCTCAGACCAAAACCTGGGATGTTTACCCCCCTTTGTCACATTCCCACACAGATGAGGGACTTTCCTCTCCACTGAGACTGTCCCTGGTGATGCAGAGCAGTGTCAGGTCAAAGCCAACAAATTCAAAGCCACCTGGTTTGAGCATGTCTGCTCAGCCAGCGCTCATGGCTGAAGTGGGAATGGGCATCGGAGAACATCGTCCAACTTCCTCACGTTACAGATGGGAAAATGGAGGCCGAGAGAGAAGTCACCTTCTAAGGCATGAGACCAGTGAGTAGCAGAACCGGGACAGGGCCCAGGTCTTCTGAAACTCACTTTAGTGCCCTTCAAATGAAAATAAAGTGCAATGACAGTTCTTGGAAAGGCTGATCACTGGAATATTTTTTTTCATTGAGAAAATATCTCCTCCCAATCAAAATAATTCTTGTGTCATTATAATGTTGAAAGTCCCTTCATTCCCTACTTCTCCTTTTCTCCATCCCCTGATAAAGTCACTTTGAACTGTTTGGTGTATACAGCACTGAATTTGAATGCTGCTTCTTGCTATAGAGCAAAGTTGCATTGAAAATGTTGCTGGACACCTTTTCACAGATGCAAAATTTTTTTTAATTGGAGTATAATTGCCTTACAATGTTGTGTTAGTTTCTGCTGCACAGAGAAGTGAATCAACCATACGCATACACACATCCCCTCCCTCTTGGACCTCCCTCCCCCACCCCATCCCACCCAACCAGGCCATCACAGAGCACCGAGCTGAGCTCCCTGTGCTGTACAGCAGGTTCCCATTAGCTGTCTATTTTACACATGGTAGTGTATTTATGTCAAACCTAATCTCCCAATTCATCCCACCCTCCCTTTCCCCCACTGTGTCCACACGTCCGTTCTCTACGCCTGCCTTTGTATTCCTGCCCTGCAAATAGGTTCATCTGTACCATTTTTCTAGATTCCACATATATGCATTCATATACGATATTTGTTTTTCTCTTTCTGACTTACTTCACACAGATGCAAATTTAAATTCACAGGGTGAGGGGACTTCCCTGGCGGTCCAGTGGTTAAGACTCCATGCTTCTATTGCAGGGGGCACAGATTCAATCCCTGTTCGGGGAACTAAGATCCTGCATGCTGCATGGCGAGGCCAAAAACAAACAAACAAACAAAACCATGCAGTGTGTGTGTAGCTGCTGAGCCAAACGTCAGAAAGTGCAGGAGATAAAGAATCTTTTATCCTGATTTGCAGCTTTAATAGTGTGAAAAAAAATCTTACAATAGAATAAAATTTGATTCATGTTTAGGGACCTTTAAACAATGCAGAGCATCATGGACTAGACAAGTTCAGGTGTGGATCATGGCTCTGCCCTTAGCTAGCTGCATAAACTCAGGCAAGTTACTTCTCCATGCCTCAGTTTCCTCATCCATAAAATGGGGATAGCTGTAGTATATACCTCATCAGTGCTACATACCTGGCACATGGTGAGCAATTAATAAGTTGTAGCTGGTTATTAATAGTATTGGAATCAGCCCTCTTAACTTGGAAGACAAGCAAGATTGAGGTACATGTTGCCTACAGGTAGTGCTTGTTTGGGCAGGTCAGCATCACTCACAATAGTTTTGTACTTTGGGTGTGTGTCCTCTGGGTGTACGGTAGTCCCCCTTGCAGCGATGGCGTGGGAGGCAGGAGTCGAGTCCTGGTCCTCGCCCAACTCTCTGTATGACCTTGACCAATTAGCTTCCCAGCTCAGAGGCTCCATTTCCTCACAGTGACATGGGGAAATTGGACCAGATCAGTGGATCCCAATCTCGGCTCCACCGTGAAGCCCTTTTGGTAACTTTTTTTTTCTTCTGTGGGTCCTGTATTTAAAAAAATTTTTTTTATTAAATAGAAACTCATATTTTTGAGTCAAAATAGAAAACTGTTGATCAGATTGAGGAAGAAATAAGGTAATTAACCATCTAAAAAGACATAATTTCAGCCAAAAGGGAAAAAATTATTTTTGTCTTAAGATAAATTTACAATTTTTGAGTTCTTTTTTTTTTAATATGCAAAAGGACAAGGCCACACTGTAGTACATGCACAGAGCCCTAGGCTTCAGAACATCTGGATTGGGACTTCCCTGGCAGTCCATTGGTTAAGACTTTGCGCTTCCACTGCAGGGGGCACAGGTTCAGCCCCTGGTCGGGGAACTAAGATCCTGCATGCTGCGTGGCGTGGCCAAAAAAAAAAAAAAAAAAAACGAAAACGGAAAAAAAAACCCAGAACGTCTGGATTTAATAATATCTGATCTCCTTTCCAGCTCTGAAATTCTGTAACTCTATGTCCTGGAACATATTTCAACTGTTTTCAGTGATTATAGAGCTTCGCTTTACAGTATAATGCTGGCTTCACCCGTGATTTTGTTTGATGCCAACTTGTTGGGCAGAAATGCAACCCCTCATTATGGCCTTGTTCTCAGAGGGAAGTAGGATCTGTTTTAAGGGTGCAGGTATGTGTTTGTGTTGAAAGCAGGAATGACACTCTTGGCTGCAAGTACCACTGGGCCCAGAGAGAGTTCCAGAGAGACGGTTCCTGGCTGGGAGGCTTGCAGGGGGCCCTGCAGCCTGAGGGTGTGCTCAGTCTATTAGGACCCTGCACCCATGGAGGTGTTTGGATCCCTCCAGAGTCACATTCACAGAGGGGTGCCCTCCTTTGGTCCTCTCTGCAAAATAGAGGGTAGGTACACTCTTGTGTTCACCCAGGAAAACAGGGAGGCTGTCCAGCTAGAACCCACTTGATAATACTAGCCTCCATTTATTAAGGAATTAAGTCCACTTTTCACTGTGAATGTTGTCAAACACAGAACATTTAAAAGAATAATGTAACAATCTTGTTACTGCCTAGATTTAATTAGCGCTAACGTTTTGCCCTGCTTGTTTCATCTTTGCTGTAAATCCTTCAGTGTAATCTGTAACTCATGAGGAATTAAAAAATATATAATAATGTGTCATATAACACTTAGCAAATTAACACTAATTCTTCCATATCATT